TAAATGAACTTGGAATGATTTACTGTGTGTTTGTCACACAGGTGGACTTCGTGGTGTTTGCTACAGGGTACAACTACGGCTTCCCCTTCCTGCCTGCAGCTCTGCAGGCTAAATGTGGCTACAGGCTGCGTCTCTACAAGCATGTTTTCCCTCCTGCGCTGACCAAACCCACGCTGGCAGTGGTGGGCTTCATCCACGGCCTTGGGGCGATCAACCCTCTGGCTGAGATGCAGGCCCGCTGGGCTACGAGAGTCCTGAAAGGTACAATGAACCACAGAAACTGAGTTTAAGTTTAATGCAGGTATGCTGGCAGCTTGCACTGTTTTGACGGTGCAGGCGTTTACATAGAGTAACTTGTGGTGTTTACATAAAGGTCTATTGACATTTAAAGTGGCTGATGGTGTCCTGATAGGGAGGCAGCTTTAGTAGCTATTCTGAGAAACATAAAGGGGAAAACTGGACAGAAACTTCCCTTGCTCTCCATACTGTAGCAACACTATCAAAAACAAATCTGTAAAATGTCAATAAATAAATATTAAAATTAATAATCAGGATAGAAAACGGTGGAAATGGTGAAAATCTGTCAGCAAGAGTGCTTGAAAAATAATACATTCAAATACAAAAGAATGAAAATAATGGAAAGTATTTGACATTTTGATATTTTAGCTGATTTAAATAAAGTGTAATTGTGTGGGCATACATTGTAAAGAAATGAAATACTATTTGTAAAAATACAGATTGGCTGTGCAAAGATTGATAACAATAATTTAAGTCAACATGTTGATGAATAGTTGTTTGTTTTTCATGAAATTGTACCATATATTACTTACAATTTAAACAAATAGAAATCTGTAATAAAACAGTTCAGTGTTTTTTTCTGATATAAACACAGTAAAACAGCATAACTTTGTAGTCAAAGATGGTAGAATAACTAAATATTATTTGTAATATTACTGATTTCTGACAGTGGTGCACAGTGTTCATAGTTTTGGTCTGTCATTTCTTACAGTTAATAAATAAATTAGTGCTTTTTTGCTGTGATTTTATTAGTTATTATCTTTAATTTAACAAAACAGAACAAAACTGTAAAATAGCAGTAAATTGTTTTAAAAAAATGTTAGAAACTTAATATATATATATATCATTTAAATATTGTATAAAACAATAAAGACGTGAGAGTCAGTCAAACACATTTTCTTGATGGAGCGATGCTGCGCATAAAGCTAATGATGATGATCCACAGCGACAGCATCATTGTGAAGGCAACAAATCCTCCAAAAGTATCAATCCAGTTTAAGATAAATGTTAATAACTTGTATTCTCTATGTTTCAATCTGACTGGATTTGTCTCTGCAGGCTTAATAACCCTCCCAAACGAGAAGACCATGATGTCGGAAATTGAGAGAGACACAGCAGTGATGCATCAGAAGTAAGAAACTGTGAAGCTGAATTGTAGATCTGCTCGTGTGCCCCAGATTCTGGATCAAGCTGTTAATATGATCACAAATCATCCAACCCAGACAGCAACACAGTCTGATGCAGAGTCTTTCAGCTTAGATTTAATAGTTTATTTTGACAATGTTCTTCTCTTGTTTTTCTCTCTTAGATATGCATGTTCAGAGCGCAACCCCCTGCAGGTGGACTACATCCCCTACCTGGACTCTCTGGCCAAAGAGGTGGGGGCTCGACCAAACATACCGTGGCTCATCTTGAAGGATCCCAAACTGGCGCTGGAGGTTTTCTGCGGTCCTGCCACTCCGTACCAGTACCGCCTGACTGGACCAGGCCGCTGGGCTGGAGCCCGTCAGGCGATTCTCACTCAGTGGGAGCGAGTGTTTCAGCCTTTGAAGACCAGAGTGGTACCAGAACCAGAGACCAAGCCTTCTTCTACACTCCGCATCATTGTGATTTTCTCATGTGCTGCCTTAGTGAGCTGCTTCATCTACAATAAACACCACCATTCCTCTTTCCTCACTCCTCCCACATTCCTCAGATCCCTCAGTCAGCTGTAAGATGAATGATGCAGCTGTAGGCACAGAATGCTTTTAGAATGTCTATTTTGAATAAGATATGGAAAGGTTTTGATATAAAAATGCAGTCTTTGTCCAATTCTGTGCATTGCTCTGAATCTACTGAATGCTTTCTTTCAATGTAACTTTTTTTGGAAACTTGCTTGTTTTGCATCAAGTCCACCCACTGAAAGCTCTGTACAAACCACTGTTTCAAATTATCAGCAGTTCATTAAAGTAAATTCTGCAATATTACCAGTTTGCATGACGGCATCATTTATTGCTCCTTATGATTGTACAGCAATTCAGATATGGTTAAAAAAAAAAAAAAGATAATAATAAAATGGCTAGAATGAAAAGAAATAAACAAATCTTGGAATGACTCATTTTACAATAATGGAACAACCTTCCAGCTTTCCAACAGGATCCAGCTGCAGGCTGAGCAGGACTAAAGAGCACTTCTCTTTAACACTTGTTTAGCGTTTTCTCCACAAAGCAACAGCAACTCTTGAACAAAATTCTGCAAAATGACTGTGGTTTTCAGTGTTTTTGACAGCACAACACATTTTAGTCCTTGTGTGGAATCTCTTAATGTTAAGGCTTCATGACAAGTGTAACCAGGCCTCCTGACTTTGGTCAATAGAAAATGTATTGCTCCTTATGATTGCACCACAATTCAGATATGATAAAGGAAAAAAAAATGTCTGTAGTGAAAAGAAATGAACAAATCTTGTAATGACTCATTACACAGTTATGGAATAACCTTCCAGCTTTCCAACATCAGCTAACTAATCAGGTCCAAGAGTGATAACGCCTTGAAGTACAGTAAGTCCTTCACAAAATTCTGCACAGTTACTTTGAGTGTTTCCTGACAAGCAAGTACATCAAGTACATTTTAGTCTTTGTAATGGAACCTGTTAATTATAAAGCTTCATAACTAGTGCAGACAGGAACCCTGACTCTGGCCAATGGATAAACCTTCAACCAACTATTGCTGCTTGTGATTGCACAATAGTTGGTTGGTTATATGGTTGAGGGGGGAATGACTGGAGTCAAAATAAACCAACAAATCTTGCAAAGACTCTCATTTTACTGTGAGGGAACTACCCTTCATAGAACATCCAGCTGTGGTGCTGGACCGGTCGCTCCCTGCACAATGATGCAACACTCATAGTTAACTGTGTCGTTTCATCTGTGATAGTGCTTTAACACTTGATTAGCATTTTTATTTATTTTTATTTTTATTTACACATAACTAAACAAATTCCTTCACAAATTTCTGCAAATTGACCTGAGTGTTTTTGACAGCACCCATGTACATTGTAATCCTTGAACTGGAACTTGTTAATCATAAAGCTTCATAACTAGAGCAGACAGGACCATTGACTTTAATCAGTAAACCTTCAGGGAACATTATTGCTCCTTGTCATAGCAAAACAGTCCGCATATGGCAAAGCAAATATGACAGGAGTCCAAAAACAAGAGAACAAATCTTGCAATGACTCTCATTTAACAGTAATGTTATAATTTTCTCACATCTTTGCATCATCCAACTGCACTGCTGGATAAGATTTTTAATGAGTGTACATTTTTCACTTCATTAGCTAGAAGTCATCAATGCCATGATACTAACTTTTTTTTATTAATGGAACTTGTTTTGTCATGATAAATCAGTAGGTTTTCCACAAACAAACTGGCACCATTCAGTTGCATTACTCCAAATCTGTGCAAACCATTAAAAGCATATCCAAGCCATAATTTCTCATCAAAGTGCATGTAAGGCATCAGGCTCTCTTGCCTCTTCACAATTCCTAGAGATATAAAACCCAGTCAGATTGGTGAAATGGACCGCACACTGTGAAATGTAGCGCGTAATGGGATGTTTTGGCACAGTGTGGCGTTCGTCTGTTTGCATTTCCTGCAGTTAAGTAACTGTGACGCTGCAGCGAGCAGAGGGTCAGTTTAGGACACTGATAAATAGGAGGACTTTGCCTCCGCCCACCACTGAGCTACGTGCAGCCTCAGACTGACTGACTGTGCATGCAACACGAAAAAAAAAGCTGTTTCCTTCCACGAACTGCAAAAAAAAAAAAAGGTAAGATATCTGCATGCTCGGTCGTAGCTTTTGGGTGCATCTGTGCAAAACTATTAAACATAAAGAGTGCTGACATCGCCCTGATGCCTGGAGAAGAAAGTTTGGCAAAGATCGCAGCTTGGATCGGTGCTCGTGTGTTGTTCTTGACAAGTTTTGTGTGTCGTTGTTAAACAGGCAGCGTGTGTTTGTGTTAAGTTGTGACTATCACTACTTGATCTGGACGTGTTTTCTGAATAAGTCATATCTTAACAGCTGGACTACATAGTTCCGAATCCTCTCACCGAACTGGAAAAATGTTTATTTTATTTTATTTTGGCCTGCACGATTCGTTTTGCTGCCCGTACATGATATTGACATGGATATAGACTTTGTTAACGAGTGATTTTTACGTTTTTTTCTTCATGTCGTATCTTTATCTTCACACACAGGTCGTGACGAATCTGCGAACGGAACATCTGGAGCATAAAGCAAACATTTACAGGTAACCTGGATCGTCTGCTGTTTAGCCACATATTAACTTCAGGTGAACTCTATGGTGATCAATCTTGGCCCGTTTCGCTTTAATCAGTAGTGTTGATAAAACTACACCGACTCGATTAGAGAAAAGTCTGACTGAAGCCACGCGTAAAAGTAGGAAAAACATACGTCTGGCCAACTTCCTGCATAGATGCATCCTCTTGTTTACAATAAAAAAAAATATCTGGAAAAAAAACAGTGGGAGCTCAGCCCAGCCCAAAAAATCTTAAAGTTTTAACCTCTTAATTGCACTGTTCTTCAGTTATTCCAGATAAAAAATGTGTGACACTGTGCAAAGTAGAATCATCCTCATTTCTTTTTGTGTTCCACAGTGAGTGCAGCAAAGCTAAAGCAACAGTTCTCAAATTATGTGCCTTGTACGTAATTTATGCAGATAAAAGCACATATAAAGGTTGCATTTTTTTAAAAAGCCTTTAAACTCCACTGGGCTACACCAGAGTCGCCCATTTTTAGCTGCCAGCTGAAGTGAGACTGTTCTGTTATACGTTATTGATGCTTGTTTTAGTTTTGGGCTCTTTATTAGTAATTTAGTTTTAAATAGTCCAGGAGAACAGATGCAGGTGCTGGTTAAGGGAGAAAGTTAATCGTTATCAAGATACCCTTCATTCATGTTAATTCGACCAAAGTCTGCCGCCTCGAGGTCGTTAACTATTAACTGTTACTGTCAATAAATGCATCACATTTATTGTCATGACCTTGATTTGTAGGTATGTGTAAGATGATAGTATTTTAAAAACATTTCTCTGCTTCCTTCAGAATTTCTGCACTGAGCAGTTACGAGATTTGACTGTTATCTAAGGCGAACGAGAAGAGCCATTCACAAAACATCTGATCTGGTTTCATCTTGTTCCAGATTTGAAGCATGACTCGTCGCGTGGCAGTGATCGGAGGAGGCAGCTCAGGTCTGACCTGCATCAAGTGCTGCCTGGATGAAGGGCTGGAGCCTGTCTGCTTTGAAAGCAGCGATGACATCGGTGGCCTGTGGAGGTTTAAGGTGGGTGACACTGTGTGCAGGTCGGACTTTTCATAAAATTGTGATTTATTTATTTTTCTTGCTCTTGCTGTTTTTGTAGGAGAATCCAGAGCCAGACAGAGCCAGCATCTACCACTCTGTCATCATCAACACCTCCAAGGAGATGATGTGCTTCAGCGACTATCCCATCCCTGCACACTACCCAAACTTCATGCACAACTCCCTCATTATGGACTACTTTCGGATGTACGCCGGCCACTTCAACCTCACCAAGCACATACGCTTCAATGTGAGGATGTTTTTGCTCAATTCCTACATTCAGTTCTGCTTTATTTTCAGCTTTAGTGCAACAAATGATGAAATGTGATGATTAAACAGGTCTGCAAACTCTCTTCTGTCTTTCTGTCACCCAGACCAAAGTCCTGCAGGTGAAGCAGAGATCAGATTTTTCACGTACGGGCCAGTGGGATGTCGAAACAGAGAACAAGGATGGCAAAAAGGAGAAACACATTTTTGATGCTGTGATGATCTGTATTGGACATCACTGCCACCCCAACTTGCCTCTCCATGACTTCCCAGGTAACACTTAGATTCTATCCTTATAAATAGTGATCTACACATCATCCATCCATCCATTATCTATACACCACTTAATCCTCACTAGGGTCGTGGGGGGACTGGAGTCTATCCCAGCTGACTTAGGGTAAAGGCAGGGGACACCCTGGACAGGTCGCCAGTCTATCACAGGGTTACACTTAGAGACAGACATCCAAGCACACTCACATTCACACCTACGGACAATTTAGAATCACCAATTAACCTCAACATGTTTTTGGACCTGTGGGAGGAAGCCGTAGAACCCAGGGAGAACATGCAAACTCCATGCGAACCGGCGACCTTCTAGCTGCAAGGCGACGGTGCTAACCACCGGGTCACCTCGCAGCCCGATCGACACATTATCACATCCAAAATTCAGCATTTTCCCGAAGATCTGCATCAAGTTTTTTGTTTTTTATTCCGCCACTTTGGCTCTAATGCAGCTGCATCTCTCTATCTATAGACCACAGCACTATCTGATAGGTTACATATGGAGAGTAATACCCTATCAACAGAGAAGGATAAATGTTCAAAAGTTTTCTTTTGACTGCACATGTATTCCAGTTCCAAATCCTGCTCATCGGTCTCCTTGATTACTGATTATTCTGGCTTATAAAGTTCACTCAATAGCAAATAGTCCTGATCGTGCTGCAGCAGCATGAAGAGAGAACTAACCTTTGGCACAGTTTAGCTGAGCCTTTTGGAGGCAACAAAGGGGTTTTATGGTACTGTATCGCAACAACACCCACAGTCAATAGTGTTGTCAGCATAATGTCCTGAACTGTGGCTCCAACTGTGTTTTGAGGTCAAAGCTTCAGTGTCTACTTGTGTATAGCTGTCTAAAATCTATGTCTTGTTTCCTTCAGGCATCGACACTTTCCAGGGAAAGTATTTCCACAGCAGAGACTACAAGACTCCCGAAGAGTGGAGAGATAAAAAGGTTGTAGTGGTTGGAATCGGAAACTCTGGAGGAGACTTAGCGGTGGAACTGAGCAGAGTCACCAAGCAGGTTGGACTGAGATAGATGCAAACTTATACACATAAGATAAGAAAAGACTTTATTTGCAAATGTCCAAGGACCATCAATAGAAATTAAAAATGAACTAGAAATAAGTGCTGATGATATTGTACAGATTTTTCCAGATTTTAAAAACATCAATATTGCACATATCTAGATCTATGTAAACACACTGAGTAGAAACACTGATACGTAACAGAAATACTGATATTGGATTAAAGTCTCCCAAAAGTAGAAAATACTGGTATTGCACAAGTTCTTGTGTATGTAGAGAAATTGACGCAGAGTTTTTTCTAGGTACAAAATATTTGGAATGTGCATCTCTAAATGCTCGTGTTGACGTTGCCCCAAAGTGAAGCATTACTCCTTGTGCAGTTTATTTACTGAATTAAAAAAAAATCATCTGTACTATTACAGTGCTGCCTAAATGTCCTGGGCAAAACCACATCCAATGCTTTTGCATAGCTTGTAATATGAATTAAAGGTGAGTGTGAGTGACCCAAGAGTCAAGCGGTTACGGTGGATACCACATAACGTAAATGCCCTCAAGCAGTGAGTTCGAGGTTTGACTCCCAGCCAGCCCAGACCTGCACTGCATACCATTCCCCTGCTTTCCTTCCCCAAATGTCCATCTCTCTCTACATTGTAGCGCTCTAGTAAAGGTGAAAATGCCAAATAATTGTAAAAAAAGAGTTGACGCAAGTATGTTCCATTTATTGCATATACAACTGTGTACAAGTACATCTGATGAAGCAATATTTTACCCAACAACGCTCTACAAAATTTGAAAAACATTCTGGGTGATACTGCAGTTTTAACTTGCAGGAAACACTATATTATTAATGCACTCTACAAATGCTTCATTTAAATACTGTTATTTCAGACACAAAGCATCCTTGCAAATTATTTTAAATTCAGAAGTACCAGGGCAATGACTGACTACCTTTTCCTTCCTCCTTAGCTTTACCTGAGCACTCGACGGGGAGCCTGGGTTCTGAACAGAGTTGGGGAAAACGGCTATCCCCGCGATCTGTTTTTCAACAGGATCATGAATTTTCTACGGACAATCCTTCCCTACGGTTTTCTCTGCTCTTTGGGAGAGAGCCAACTTAACCAAAGGTTTAATCACGCTATGTACAATCTGAAGCCAAACCACAGGTATTGTGTCTTTATAATAATGTCTAAATCCGCACATTGTGTTGTAATATAACAAAGCATTCTAATTTTATTGACGTTGGTGTATTTCTTCCTATCATAAGCGTAAGAACAACCTTTATGACATAACTATTAGCACAACATTATAGCAAAATAGGAATATTTATTCTATGCATCGTGTTACTGATGGAACTTTGGATTCTTTGCCATGTTTTAATTAAAATGCCTGCAGTGTTCAATAAATTGCAGCAACAAAATCAACGAGTGTGAACATAAATTTCAGGGTGTTCAGCCAACATCCCACAGTGAATGATGAGCTTCCCAACCGCATCCTATCCGGGACAGTTCAGGTGAAACCCAACATCCGCAGATTTCAAGGTTCCAGTGTGGAGTTTGATGATGGAAGTGTTGTGGAAGACGTTGACCTGGTGGTAAGTTTGTGCACATGTAGCACTCTTCCACTTGCTCTCCCTACACTTTAATAGAAACAACAGCAGCGAGTAGTTTTACCATGTTCTTGCCATGCCTGTACAAAGTATTTTTGAACTTTTTCCACTTTTGTTTGATTGAGATTGAATCATAATCATCTTTTTGGATTAAAAAAAAAAACAACAGCGTATATTTTAAAAAAAAATAAAAAAAACTTTAATGATGACATGAAGACAGATTTCTGCAAAGTGTTGTCAATTATTTAAAAATATGAAACATAAATATGTCATTGATTGAAATTTCACCCTCTTTAAAGTGACTCACTTAATTCACACAGGTGCAAACACATGGTGCTAGAAGTCACACAACTAGTGAAACACAGATCATCTGAGTGCAGTAAATGTGTCTCAATGATTGTAGTGGAGAGAAACCTGTATCTGGAAGGTCTAGTAACTTGTAAGTCAGTACTCCTGGCTATAACTACACCATGAAGACAAAAGAACACTCAGTAGTAGCTCAGAGAAATGTTATCAGATAACATAAGTCAGGGGATGAATACAAGAAACAAGACCCTGCATATCACTACAAACAGACCATCCCCACCCTGAAGCATGGTGGTGGCAGCATTATGCTTTTTATAGGCACTGTGGAACTGACACAAGTCTCTGTCTTGCAGGTTTTTGCCACAGGTTACCGGTTTTCCTTTCCTTTCCTGGCTTCACATGTGGTCTCAGTGAGTGACAACAAAGCATCTCTGTACAAATATGTGTTTCCTCCTGAGCTGGAACGCCCCACGGTGGCTATCATTGGTTTAGTGCAACCACTGGGAGCCATCATGCCCATCTCTGAGATGCAGGCCAGATGGGCCACACGCGTCTTTAAAGGTAAAAGAGGTTCTTTAAAAAATTTTACTTTTTCTCATCACTTATTATTTTGCTTATAAAACTGAACAACCACGTCCATTTTCAAACAGGCTGCATAAAGCTTCCTTCAGCGGCTGCTATGTTGAAAGATATCCAGTATAAGCAGGACACCATGGCTAAAAGGTACTGAAGTGGATTTACTCAACTAAGTAATTACTTACACATTTAAGATCTGTGGAGCTCCAGATTTTATTGTGCACATGTTCAACTTGAGTCACATTTGCAGGTATGTCACCAGTCAGAGACACACCATCCAGGTCGACTATGTTGCCTACATGGATGAGGTAGCGGAGCTGGTGGGGGTTCGACCCAACATCCTAAGGATGCTGCTGACTGATCCCAGAGTGGGACTGAACGTGATGTTTGGTCCCTGCACACCATTCCAGTACCGTCTCAGAGGGCCAGGAAAGTGGGCCGGAGCCCGACAGACCATCCTCACCCAGTGGGAGAGAGTGACTCGACCCATGCAGACCAGGCCCTGTACTGAGCCCCAACCCAAGAGTTCCTTTAAGTGGCCTCTGCTTCTGTCAACCACTGCTGTGGGCTTGGCTGCCTACATTAACAGGAACAACCTTCCAGCTTTCCTGCAGGATCCAGCTGCCCTGCTGGACAGGATTAAAGAGTGCCTGCCTGCAATGGTGCAACGTTCATAACCAATCAGCTTCATCTGTGATTACTCTTAAAGAGCTCATAAAGCATTTTTTATTTTTTTTTTTTGCATTAAACTACAACAACATCTGAAATGGACAATGTACTGATAAACTAGTCAATGATGTAATCGTGTGATAACTTCAAAGGTCAGCTAAGGTGACAAACAAAAAGCTTTTATTCAGCGTATTCTGTTATGCATAAATATCCAATTTACAGTTATGCTTTGCCTCTGTTCCTTACTGTGTAGTTTTAGGGTGTATGATTGAAAGACTCTTTTTTTCTAATGAGTTCACTGTTCATTTAGTTTTGACAGAGTAACATAATGACTTTGTACAATGCATTTCTATTGCCTTCCCTAGCCTTGTCTGTTTCTTAGGGATGGTAACTTCATTAACCATTTTTGACTTCTAACATCTTCTGTACAATGCCTTCTATTCAAAATCTTACTGTTCTATGTATTTGTGATAGAAATTTTTAAAAAAGCAATAAATTTGGATTTCCAGAGTTTAATATGTTGGATTCCTCCATTTATGTCAAATTCCGAATACTCTGGGGGAAAAAGCACATCCAGTGCTTTTGTATGTCTTGTAATTTGAATGGATCGTTTTTAGAAAAGTGCAATTTAAACTAACCTTGTTCTGTAAAACATAATTAACTTTATTAACTGAGCTTTTAAATATGTGTTTGGCTTTTTTTGCAATCCCAGAAAATAAACAAAGTTGAGAGGAAATATTGCTGACACGGTGAGCCCAGGTCAGGGAATAAACCTTTTTGATATTACTGTAAAGCTACATTCCCATGTTTCTCTATGTGCTTTGTTTGTTTTGTTTACTTACATTAATAATATGTGTACTTTTTACGATGACTAATACAAATAAATCACAATGCTTCCACATGTGCTTAGATATGGTTTTTTTTTTTAACTGAGTAAATAAAACTCTTCTTTTTTTGGTAGGAATAAAAAAATAAAGAGTGGTTGGTCCTTGGAAGAATAAAACTAATGTGTTTTAAGAGTCACACTGATATAAAATATAAAGCGCTGTGTAATAAATCAGTACAACCACATAAATGTTGTTCATTTATCATCCCGCCGACTGAATTACCAGGTCATGCAGATATTTTGATAAGGAAGCAACTGAAAGCAGGTCAATGATCAGAGGTTTATTTGAATCTTTTTTTAAACATTAACATTATAAGTGTACAACTCTCTCTCATGAACAGCAAGACCTAACTTTGTAGAATATCATGTACTGATTCTCAGATGCAGTACAACAGGTGTGTAAAAAGCTCCAAACACAACAGTATTTACCTGAGGAATAAACCCCTGGGTGTGGGCAGTTAGTTATTGATGGACACTGTTGATACTGTGCTAAAGGTCAGGTAACTGGTGTATTTACAAAGTGCAACAGCTGCAAGTTAAAATGTGAAACAATGACTTACATATTGAACATTTGCAGGATTACATGAAAAAAAAGACAGATATATTTGAATTATTTGATTTTGAAATGCTACAAAGTTTGATTTTCTTACTTTTTTTTCTTATAAATCTGCTTTTTGCATGCTCACAGTGCTACAGTCGGCTTTACAGTATATTTTCTACATTAAAGCTGATGCATTAGGCTGAACAGATGGAGTTTTTTGTGCTTTATTTGTTAATATTATAACAAATGAATATAATTCTACATAGAAAAGAGAGTCCTAAGTAAGTAGATACTCAAAATAGTCCTTATCAGTTGCCTTTGCATTGGACAGAACTTTGATCTGGGTGACTTTGCATGGATGAGATAGCTGACTGATGTGAGGCTGGGGCTGGTGCGTTGCTCAATCCCTGCACAGTTTTCTAATATTGTGTCAGCGGGCCAAGAAAGTAGGCTCCAGGCCATCCTCAATCAAAGAGAGAGAGTAAAAAAATGAATGTTTTTGTTATAGTTTTTAACCATTTAAAAAAATAATAACAATTTACTGCTATTTTACAGATTTTTCCTGTTTTGATAAATCACATATAAAATCTTGTAAAATCTCAAAAGAAAATTATTAAATGGCTTATTATTCATTAAAGGAACAGGTCAAAACTGAGAAGTATTTGTTGGTATTTGGAAGAAAAAATATGTTTATTATGTATATAAACATGGTAAATCATTTTTAAGACATTTTTGAATTCTTATGTTCGAGTTTTGTTGAATTACAGATATTATAAATATAACATAAAATCTAGTAAAATCACAAAAAAGTATTAATTTACAAGTTGAATGTAAAAAAAATTTAATTTTATATATATTTGCTTTTATTTATTTATTTATTTATTTATTTATTTATTTATTTATTTATTTATATTTTTACCATTTTTGATTGTTACAGTATTTCACTGTTTTTCTATTTTTTTCCTGATACCATTGCTGTCAGATTTTCACCGTTTTCCTTCTGAAAACAATGTTTTTAAGGTGTAGCTCAGCTCATGCAGACCAGGCGCAAACCCAGCAGACCTTTTTGATGACCTCTTAATGACTTTTTTACTTGTTAAAAGGAACAACTTTCCAGCTTTCCTACAGGATTCGGACGCATTGCCAAACATAGTGATGTGTTATTAATACTTGCTTCATGTCTGACGTGATTATGAAGGTCGTAGTACATGGCTGACGTGCTGGTAGTTATTTGTTGATTATGATAACCCACCTATACCTACTTATATTGATGCACGACATTTCATGTATTTTCCTCATTTCAGTGCAACTACAAACAGAACAGAAGCACTCAGGTGACGCTGCCCCAGAACTGTGCACATAGTATTCTATGAATGTACCTTTACACCTGTGGCAGTTTGGAGTACATAACTTTGTATCTAGACTGGATCATGAACTAAGATGATGTACATTGGTCTTTAATGCCATCTAATGGTGGCTTCAGAATGTACCTCATGTTTTGTTTGAAAAAGCCACAAGTATTGTAAAGCCTTTTGTGTCTCGTTGTATCACAATGGGAGCATGTGATTAGGAACTCCACCTAGTGTGTCTCATGTGGTCAAAATCAGCAGCTAATGCAGTTTTTGTATATATGTATAAGAATAAAACCTAATTTACATTTACAAATGACACAAATGTCATGTGATTGCCTAAAAGTAGAAATAATCCAGACATTAAACTAAAAATTATCCTGCAGACAAAAAAAGTCTGTTGCTTTGGGTATTATATCATTTGTCATTTTTGTGTAACTTGTTGAAACGTAGAAGGTAAGCAGTGACACTGACACGGGATCCCCCATTTTTAAAGGATTTTCATGCCATTAAGGGTACACTTTCATGTGGCTTTGTTCATAAAAGTCAACAAATAAAGTCTAGAAAGTTGCAGAAAGCTGTTTCTTGGTTTTGTTAGTCTTTATTCCCCTAATTCAATTCCATCAAGTTAAAGCTAATAGTGGCGTAAACTATGTTTTTCATTATGAAAATGTATTCTATTTAGGATGTTTAAAAAGATAGATAGATAGATAGATAGATAGATAGATAGATAGATAGATAGATAGATAGATAGATAGATAGATAGATAGATAGATAGATAGATAGGTCTTTTAATATTGTTTTTCATTTATTTAATTAATTCACAATAACAAATAAATATAAATAATGATGCTTTTGATTTGAATTTTATATACTTAAAGCTAACCGCCTCCTCCCGGCCACCGGTAGACCCCGGAACAAGATTCATCCACGCGTGACTCGTTGACATTTGGGTTGCCAGGTTCGGAGAAACCAAGGTTTAAATGTCGTCTTATGGATGCCAGTGCACTCACATATCTGAGATTTTGTTAAGTCATGTTTATATGGTTGCCCAAATATTTTTTTTTATTGTATGTTGTTATTAATAATAATAACAATTTCATTATAAAGCACTTTTAAAAACTAGAGTCTACAAAGCAAGTTACCCAGTAGCCAAAATAACATCAGTAGGCCAGAGAGTAAGACGAAACAAAACAAGTCAATATGAAGGTGATGTTAAGACTAATGTCAATGTGTATTTTCTCATCCTAACTCAGAAGTCATTCACAAAATCTTTGAGATGTTTTTTTAACAGAACACTAAATATGGCAACAACTGACCACATGGCCCTGTGGTAAACTGCTAAATAATCGTATTTCTATCTTCTTAAATTACTGGGAAACAAAAGCCATCAATGAAACTCTAGAAAATATGAAATACATTCACTTGTATAACTTTTTGCTAATGAATGAAATGAATGAAAAAATGCAGCAACAACAATAATTGAGTGTTTCAGGTCAAGGTTTTAGTCTTGTTGGCGCAGATTTTTTTTGTACCAGTCATTGCATTGATCAATAGAGAAATCAGTCGGTCGCTCTGCACAGCTTCACCTTACACACTTTATTAATGCACTTGTATATAGACTGCAATTAATGTAAAAAAAATGTAATGCAATCAGAATTTGCAATCATTTGCAATGATCTCTCAGGGGAAATACTGTGTAGTTAATAGAAATGACACAATGAAGAGTTTGTGCTGCTACACGTGGGTTGTATCCCAGCTTCATTTTAACATATCAGCATTGTTTAGGTTTTAAGAATTTATTTTTTGAACAGTCATCTGAATAAAGACTTTTTAATAAAGGGAACTATTTTTTTTTTTTTTACTTTTGTGCACTTTATACCAAAAAGCACCTTCATTATACTTGTGAATACTCCATATTTTTTGCTTTTCTGTTTGTCATTGGCAATCATCCTGAATTTATTAAATACACATTTAAGAAGGCTGTTCTAACCTCTATGTGTGGAATACATCCCACCTTTATTCCATTTACATGTGTATGTTTTTAGAAAGTCATCATGAAATATCCATGTTAAAAAACACTTTTGGAAGTTCTTTTCTTTCTTTTTGTGTCCTCCAGCAAAGAATATCTTTATTTTTACTTGTTTAAAACTTTGGGCAATTTGGATTTTTTTTTTCTTTTGTGTCCCCTTGAAAAAAATATCTTTATTTGTTTTTACTATATATATTGCTAAGTATATATACTTGCTCTTCTGTATTGCAAATAAAGAAGAAAGGGGTTGCGTGCGTTGCTATGTGTGGGTTGCATCCCACCAAAATTATTTTTTAGAATTTTATTATTAACTAGACATATGAATTAAGACTTTATAACTACATGTGAGGAGTTCATGGTTTTTCTCTTTTTTGTATTTTTTATGTCCTCTACCGAAGAACCCTTCATTATACTGTACGTGACTGGATCTTATTTGAATAACCGGTGCGGACAACTACTAAAACATATTCGCCCGAGCACCTGCACAGGTTGAATCTTAGAAAGGGGGATGTGAGGCAATAAATCTGGCAACTCCAGTCTGCCATCTTTGATTGTGAGACAGGCCGCGGCGCGAGCGGGGCCTCACTCAACTAGAAAAACGGTCTGGCACGAGATAACGGGTGGGGAGAGACACGGAACCACGGGACGACCGAGCACCGGTTCCCGCAGAAACGGCCGAACAGACGAGCACAGACTGGCGGCGTGAAACGGCGGAGAGGACACGCAGCGTGAAGCCGTGCATGTGGAGAGCGGTTTGTTGGCAGCCAACGAGCAAAGTAGCTAACCATCGTTAGCCGAACTGGGTTAGCGGGCTAGCCAGCTTTTGTAATCCGCCGGCCAGACACACACATTGGTCCGCCGCGAACCAGGCCGAAACCGGATTTCAAGTGAGGCCGTACAGCACCCGAAAGGACAAAGAAGGCACCGGCGGTGGCAGGTGGGTCTGAGTGACATGCGGGTGGAAAATGTGAAGTTTCGCCCGGTGGCAGAGATGTTAGTGTTCACACAGCGTTAGCCTGTTAGCATAGTTTGGCCACTGACGGGCTCAAAGTGGATGTGATGGCGACTAGTGAGAAACGAAACTATGCTCAACGATGCAAGCTGGCGGCCTGCTCTCTGACAGTCACATTGGACAGTAAAAGCCCCGTCTTTGCCTGCGTTATTACGTTGGCGGTTTTATGTGTAACTTTTGTGCAACTAAAGTGTTATTTGAGCCCGGTCTGGTTGAGTTCCGGGCGGAGAGGGCCTCTACTCCCCTGCCGGTATGAGCCACCCAGCCCACCAGTAGTTTGATTCATGGGGAAGGATGGCCTGCACACTCATCAGTGGCAGTGATTTAAGAAACTGTACGAAATAGTGCTAAATAAACCCATCTATTTAGGTGTGTTCTGTGTCGTTATCTGCCAATTCTCACGTCTTGCGTTAAGGTTAGCACAGTGCAGTCCTTTCCAGCCTTTTGGTGTTTAACGAATTCAACGAATTGTGGTAATGAAGCACATTTTTAGTGTGTGAGTGTGCACTCTGAGGAGTTTGGCTGGGTTGGGTTGTAGAAGCATCCATATGATTCATAAACAACTCTCAGATGTGGAAGCCAGCTGTGAGATCATTAATTAGGTGCATGTAATGTTTTCGGCTTGTGCATTTAAAGCATATTAATGTGATTGGTTTTAGGCAAGCGACTGAGATATCTATTGATTAGAGTAGTGCTTATTGACTGACCAGTCATTGACATGGCCTGATCTACAGCTGAAGAGGGAAGTGTCTTTTGGAACCCATAAGCATGGATTTTAAGGACTACGGAGATGCTACTGATTTATATTTCTTGTTTGTCCTGGGAATAAGCAGTCCCTAACAAGGACTGGTATTTGACTCTGCTAATTATACACCACGCAGGTTAGTCCCCTACATTGCCCCCATGTGTGTAGTTTAAACTGACATTTGCAATAACAAATGCTTCATTTGTGTATTAAATTCAAGCACTTAAGCGTCCCTTGAATGAAACTATAGCCATCCTGGGCTTTCTCATTAAAACTGCAAACAACTCCCAAGAGAGACCATCTTGTTGTTATTGATGACCAGGCAGACCTGGAAGAACCACAATATTCTTAAGTGGCCTCCGGTCTTTATCTTTTTCTGAGGTTTTCGTTCATTGTGCCAAAAACGATAAGCACCAGTGAAGATGTTAGATGAAGCGCTTTGCATTGAAATTGAGAAAACTGAAGATTAATAGATGGAGATGCTGAATGTGTGCTAATCAGTTTTATCGTGGATACGACGTATTTCCTATTCAGAAGTCCGGTCATGTGGTCTGTTATCTGTAAGGTGTGACCCCCCTGACTGATATTCATGTCAGCAACCAATGTGGTGGATGTGTTTTAAGGGTATAAAAAATTACAGCCTTAGGCTTGATATTGTAACTTTTGGTGGTATACCTGAAGATTAACCACACACACTCACAACTGTAGAGTTTTTTTTTTACTGCACCATTACAATACAAACCTTTGGGGACAACGAAATACGAGCCTGTTCTTTTTATTCTATTATTAACATTATTATTCTATTCCATCATTTAGGTCATCTTCATGACTTCTCATTCTGTGAGTCAACTGTAGCATTAGACAGGTCAGTCCCACGACTCGCTCTACACAGACAAATGGGGTGCATAGGTACTAGACAGGCAAGTCTATCTGAAAAGTGCATCTACACTGCTAAAGACAAACCCATTTTCCTTTTTGGGTGTTAGCATTTTGTGTTCACCTTCATTTAAGCCCTCCCTATTTGCCTCCCTATTTGGTTTCTGAGCATAAGTAAGCACAATATGCGTCAATCGTTTCACTTTACTGAACAGTAATTAGGTGCAAGCTACAAAGCAGGATGCTCAATTTCTTAATGCGAAGAATCCTCACCGAAACAGCAAAGTTATTTCATTTACCTCAGGGTTTGATGGATGCCTAATTAAGTCAGCTTTTTTAACTTCATCACACAGTCAAAATCTGGGAGGAACATTATTAACACAAGTGCTTAAATGAACTAGTTCTTGTCCAGGAGAAACACCAAAGTGCTGATTTTTTTGAGTATCAGATAAGAGAAGAAAAGAGCTTACCTTGATGGATGGACTGTGGTGCAGAAGCAGTTGCAGGGGTGCAGGGTCCTGCTGGAGGTCAGGTCGGCCCAAATGAGGCTAGAGAGCTGGGATACTATTGTGTGATTGATGACTAATCTTTCTCCTTCACTCTCCTGAGACAACCATCTAAAAACACTTAAAGTGAATGTATGTTGGAAGTTTCAGAGGAAGTCAGCAGGTATTGTACATTGAATTGAGCCTTTCTTTCATCCCTAGGTGACTTTATGATCACACTGGCACTAAATAGGTAACATTATTTTTGGTCTGTGCACAGATGAACGAGGACTGTTGTCACTTGGATTGGACACAGTGTTCCCTCTTCCTGTTTGTTCCCGTTTTTGAAACGCATCCCATGTTCCTCAATGTCAAGAATGGCATTTCTACACACACACTTGTACGCCCAGCCTCTGCACCATACTCCTTAAGCTGACCTTTCTAAAGAGGAGAATCACAGCCCATTCTTACAGGAGCTTGCCCTGATAAAAGGTTTTCTGAGAGTGGGGATTACTAAAGGTTCAGTCTCGACACTTCTACACAGTTGGTCACTTTCAAAAGCTTTCTCATTGGGATCAAGCATGTCGAATGTAATCAGCATATTTCCTGTAGTTTGGCAGGTGATGATCCTCAATAACCAAGAGAGCTGCAGTGATGCAATTTGCAAAGTAAAATGAAAAATGTCTCCTACATGAAAACCCTGCTGTCAAGCATCTATATGCAAACACTGTTTTACTGGTGATAAATGCAGTGACTTCATTTATCATTTTCACACAAATCATACCTGCGTTCAAGGGACTGAAGTGAACGAGTTTGTGACTCGTACTTAGGTTTTTGGGAACAGTGTTGTAAACGTTTTGTAAACACTAGTTATGTGTTGTCACCTTGCAAATTTGAACGTCGCTTGTAGTGTGTGCCCAGCTTTTGTGTCTGGCATTGTTGTGTCTGGAGGAACCATTTTCAGACGGCGTAGTGTCTCTGTAGATTCTCTGTTGTAGTAATGCATCAAAGTGTCAGCACTGCTTGGCCTTCTGTAATGAAAAACCACGACCACAACAAGACAAATGTTGCAGAAGAAAAGAGAGTGACATCATATTCTTTATGCCGATCCTCCTATAGTGCAAGAGTTGAACAATTAATCGAGATATTATTGTAACTGCAATATGGCTAAGTGCAATATCTAAAGCAGTGATTTTTTTTTTTTTAATATATGTAAGACATGTCACAACATACCATTAGGAATTAGGCAATTTGGTGCTACTGAAATGCCTGGTCTACATATCATACTCTAGAGACATAAGGGAACGTGCTTGTTTTATACGTACTGCAGTAAAAATCACATCATTCTCATATTTGTTTCATTAGAAAAGAAGTCCAAAACTGAACATTTCCACTGAAATCGTGACTGATATTGCAACCACAATATTTGTCAAAATAATCTGGATATGATTTTTTTTTTCCTGTAGTTTTTTGACAGATACAATACCTGATTTTTAGTGTATTTTCCATTTGGCATCATAAGTGAAACTTCTAATATATAAACTTAAATAAAAATGCAACATAAAATATTTAATTCATGATTGCAATCGGGAAATCCCGCATTTTGAGATTAGTTCTTTCTTATGGCAGAAGACTCAATTGAAACAACATAGACCTACATACAAAGTATTGGTTGGGCAGGATAAATCAGTTTTTGTTGAAGTACATGAGGCTGTATTGGCTCGCATCACTACTGATACCATAGTTGATGTTGGCATACTCTTACTTATAGAACAAAAACAACCTACATCTTGTTATAATGGTTTAACCTCATTCCATTCTACAGTATTTTATAAAATGAGAACCAGGTCGTTCTGACAAGACAGGCGTTTTCCTTTTAAGTGGATGTTCTTTTGCTGAAGTGTTCCAAGGCCAAGTTGCAGATAGACTGAACTCATCAGAGCTGTCAGCTCCCCCCAACACACATGCACACCAACACAACCTCACACTCACAGTGTTACACCACTGCTCCGTTAATAATAAATGACCTCTGTGTGACTTCGGAAAGACACTGCAGCCCCAAACATGCTGTCTCTCTGTCCTTCGTGCTGCTCACTTTCTAGCTTTTGCTTTTCTTTCTACCCCTCTGAGTATCCTCGTTTTTCCTCTATTTCCTCTCTATGTCCCGCTACCACCACTGGTCAGTGTGTCTTCCTGCTTTCCTATGTCAGCTTTATGTTACGAATAAAATTTAAATGGATACTCTCTGACTGATTGGCTTACCCGATCTTTTTTTTTTTTTTTGCCTCCGATCCCGTTTAAAACCAAGTCATCCCCGTCTTGTATAGCTCGCTGACAGCCATGATACATTAAATGAAAAAGCTTGTTGGTGTCCCGCACAGTTGGCTCAAGCTGCAGTGCTCGGTGTACAAAGCTCAGTGGGACATTTTTGACATCTCGTTTATTAGGAGCAAACAAAGGCTTGGAAAAGGTTTAGACTGCCTATACTGTTTGTTTTTGTTTTGTTTTTTTAAGTAAAAAAAGAATTTGAACAATCATAATCCTTTAGACTGGCTCATTTAATTTCTTTTCACAGCCCATAAAGCAGGTTTGACTGCATTAGGTCAGATTAGTATTAACCAAAAGGCTCGTTTTCAATTGTTTAAATGTGTGCTGGCCTACAATCAGACGTTTTACACAGTTGAAATGTACCACCACAATGGTAACAGGATCAACACTGACCTTATTAGGAGGATCAGGGATCAGCAAGACATGACAGATCCACAAATATACAGGGGGTTATTGTTTTATCTCTTTGGTTTTTATCAGTTACATGAGTAGCAGTGACTCAGGTTTTAGTCCTGCAGCAATCCCTGTCCCATTGTTACCTTACACAAAAATGATTGCAATGACTCTCACGCAGTGAGGTATTCACATTTTTGTTGTAAACCAGCTTTAGGCTCAGGTGCATTAGTAGAGAAAGAATCTCTTAAAATCAACTGTAGTTTGTTGGCAAGCATCAAAGAAGGCTCAGAATATCTGTTATCCAAAGCCAGTAACCTCTGCACCTTTTGTCATGTTCTTGTTCTTTGTCTGTAGGAGGCTGGTTCTGGGGGCGAGGCCAAAGGACCAGACTCAATGAGTTTCCAGCGAAATGTCCGAGAAGTCAGGGCAGAGCACCAAGGCAAAGGATGGCAAAACAAAGTATGCAACCCTTAGCCTCTTCAACACCTATAAAGGCAAATCTCTGGAAACCCAGAAAACTGCAGGTAAGCCTTCTCTGTTATTTCCTATTCCTGTTGTTTGGTCTTTATTGAGTTCAGCTGACTGAGGTACTATAATATAGTTTGTGAGTATGATCAGGTTCTTACTTAGACATTCTTTTGCTACCTAACCCTCTTTCACAACCCTCATCTACACCAAGCCCAGCTTCAGTCATCTTTCATTGCTGTCAGAAAATCAAAATGCATTCACTGATACCAAAATTTAAATGTCACTCATTGAAATGACTAGCAAAAATATGAGGGAGAAAGAGAGAGAAGTAGCATGCAGTTAAGGACATGTGAAACTTAACTTTCATCTGGTAGGGACTGGGTTTTATTCTCAAATTTGTCAGTGATGTGTATATAGCACCATCTTTCTTCAGAATTGCAGACTATACAGTAATTGTAAAGTGTATTGGGACCATGCTGCATGGTGATTCTGCACTTTAAATAAAAATTGATTGATTATGAAATGTTTTTTTCATCCCAGTGGCTGCCAGACATGGGCTCCAGAGTTTGGGCAAAGTTGCTGCGAGCCGGCGCATGCCCCCTCCGGCCAACCTGCCCAGCCTGAAGGCAGAGAACAAGGGAAACGACCCCAACGTCAACATTGTCCCCAAAGACGGTAGTGGCTGGGCATCCCGAACTGAGGCTGGGGACGAGAGGTAAATTTATTAACTTGCATGCACATTTATACCTTTATATGGGGAAAATAATCTCCTTTTCGTATCTTTTTTCTAAATCAAGGTGTGTGTTAAGCACTATAGAGTACCTGAAAATGTCTAATTTTGGGAAAGAGAAGTCAGTCATCCATGTTTTAAATTATTAGTGTTGTTGAAAATTCTCCCCTGTTTTCATGTGCCACAGGCAACAGGAGACACCCCCACCTCCAAACAAACCAGCAGTGCTCCAGTCACAAGAGCTGTCTATTGGGGGCAGCCGCTCCTGGGCAAACAGCAAGCAGACACAGCAAGACGGTAAATACACTCACCATTTGCTCCCAAAGCCTTTCACTTGTAAAACGGAGATTACCGATGTTGTAGTCTCATAGTTTTTGGTATTTATGTAGGAGGTTGTAAACAATATCCGCTATGTTCCCTGCTTGTGTTCAAACAAACGAATGCACAATCTTCAAGTGGTTTACTACACTCAGCCATTACAGTCGGCGTGGAATGCAGACCATTTGATCTCTGCTAAATGTAACGTTGGGGTAGAAGGGCTGCCATACACCAGTTGAGGATTAGACCCTTCAGTGCTTCTATGTAAGACACTGTATTATGTTCAGCCTTGTGATTTTTGTGCAATTATAATGATTGCTTGTATTGTGCAGGATCTCCTCGTGTGAGCAGCCATTTTCACCAGGAGTTTCCCAGCTTGCAGGCGGCTGGTGAGTTGGAGAAAGGGGACGGTCAGGAGGAGGAGCCTTATGGACCAGGCCCCAGCCTCAGACCTCAAAGTATGACCGCACTCATGGACATAAATCTCATTCAGAAATTGCTTTCTATTTGCCTGTTTTTCAGCAATGACAAGTTGCCTGACTGTAGGTGAAGTCAAACAATCAGTGCTTTTATTTTTACATCTGTCCTACTAGATGTTGGCAGTTGGCGTGAGGGCGGAGGCAGGAATTTGAACACTGCACCCAGCCCTCCTGAGATGGACAACAGGCCTCCGGAGGAGGGTAGCACGGGCCTTGGAACTTCCACACCACCTGGGGAAACTGAGGAGCCTGGCCGAACCATAACCACTGACGGTCAGAGGGAGAAGAGGGATGGCAGAGAGAGGTTGCCGCCTTCCGGCCCTCCTCAGCCGAAACTTAATGGGGGCCAGCAGCCTCCTGCTGGGGTGCCAACTCACTTTGACCCTGCTTTCAGGAGCATGATGCCACCTTATGTACGTCACATTCTGGACTGATTACATAAAGATATCACAGTTGGTGCTTTTCATGCCCTGCGTGATGATTGCCGTCTTTGTTTCAGATGTTCCACGCCTATCCTCAAATGTCTTTTGCCCCAGGACAAGGGAACTTCAGATACCCTGTACCGCAAGATGGAGCAAAGTGAGTTCAATGGATAACCGTTATGTCCTTGGGATGAAGCTAAATAAGAAATACATTTTTGATTAGTGTTTAATGTCATTATTGTGAAAACACATATTACTCTAGATTCTTCCTTCATGATTAACAAAACCTTTCCTAATAAAAATGATACATGTTTGCAAAACAATAAGCAGAAGATGTTAGAAAATCACACAGCTGCACATTGTTCATGTCAGTATATCATACCTTTTTGAGCCTGTGCACATATGTAAGATGCATGATACTGCCTTGCATGTTTTTGTACCGTGTATTTTCATTAGCTCCCATAATAATGTTTCTCTGCTTTATGCTCTGTTTGGTGTTCAGGGGTCCACGCTCAGCACGACCCCAGCAACCACCTCCTCAGTCTTGGCTCCAAGACCCAGACAGACCCTCTATCATCAGTGCAACAGAACTAAAAGAGCTGGACAACTTGGACACTGATGCTGATGAGGGCTGGGCTGGTCAGTAGCTTTACATTATCTATGAGTTACAACATTTAGCTAAGTCGCTAAAAAAAAGGTAATTTTATAATTCAGTTGCCAGCTTCTCATCAGTCATTTCCCGTCTGCAATTCAGGAGCTCAGATGGAGGTGGACTACACTGAGAAACTAAACTTCAGCGATGATGAGGAGAACCAAGCTGCTAAAGAAAAGGGCGAAAACTGGTGAGCGTTTTGATCTTTTGATCATTTTCAGTGTCGTGCATTTACTATTTATCTTGTTCTCTGCTTAAACCACACTGTTATGTGTAGCTTTCATTATGAGTGCCAGTCTTTTTCAGGACTGACAGCTCTTGCTTTGTACTTGTGTAGACTTGAAATCATGCTTGAGATAGCTAGTCATCAGTTCATTTACTGTAATTCAGTCTCTGCTAGCAGCAGAGTCACTGTACAGTGTTTTACAACAGTAAAGTTAGAGATGATGTTCATTCTGATTGATTTTGTTTCTTAGGATAGGATAGGATAGGATAGTTACTTTAATGATCTTTTACAGGAAATTACTTGTTACAGCAGCTACATTAAAAGAAAAAAAAAAACACGGAATGTAACTAACATCCAGATACTGCACACAGAACACAGCTAGAGATTTAATGGCAGCATTGGTTTTACTACTTAATGCGCAAAGTGCCAAATAGTTTTGTACCAAGCGAAATGTGGTTTTTTGGGTTTGTTTTTTTAAAGAAATCAGAAGTTTGTAAAGATCATTTATGTGTGTCTGGTGACACCATTTGTTTTAAGTTGTGACCTATTGCGGGGAAGCCTTTAGATAAGTGGGATGACAGTTGGAGGTGGCTGTTTTTTGGGTTTACTTAATTATGTTCTTTTTAGGGAGTGGATGGGTAAAGTGGAGCGTATGAGATCTCGGACAGCAGACAGTCAGGAGGGCTGGAAGGAGGGATCTGAGGACCGTGCAGGCAGTAAAACCTCATGGGCTGACAGTGTGGATCCCAGAGCGCCATCACCTGGCAGCATGGGGCAGTACAATAAATCGGCTGCTACTCAGGACTACCAGGTATAGCAATATGCAATATACATATTTGACATTATATGAACATCATGATCAGTCTGTATCTGTATTAATTTCTATATTTTTCAGGGTGGCAGTCGTTCTGTTAGCGGTGGAGCTCCCCGTGGGAGCAAACCACAGGCTACAGTGGCACCTGGGGCTGACGAGGACTCTGATGCCTGGCGACAAAAACGCAAGAAGCCATCTGAAGTTTCTGAGGCTGTAGAGCGAGCAAGACGGAGAAGAGAGGAGGAGGAACGACGGATGGAAGAACAACGGCTTGCCGCTTGTGCTGAAAAACTCAAACGTCTCAACGAAAAACACCGCCAAGCAAATGAGGGCAAACCTGCTTCTGCTCAGACGGCCAACGATGAGGCAGGACCTGCCCTTGAGGAAGCCCCCTTACCAGCTCCTGCTCCAGCGCCCAGTCCTGTACCTTCAGTCCCAGTTTCACAATCACCGGCCCCAATCATTCAAGCTCCTCTGTCTGAGAGGGTGGACCGAGACAGGGATAGGATTGAGCATGAGAGAGAGCTAGTAGAGCCAAGTGCTGAGGATGAGGTTCATTTACCTCGTCAGCCCAGCCCTCCTGTCCAGAGACCTGTAGCTGTAGCTCCAGAGCCACAGAGCGAAGGAGAGTCATCCCTGGCTGAGGTTGGTCCCCTGATAGAGGAGAACCAGACTGATAGGACCTCAGTGCCTATCCGTGACTATTTCAACATAGAGGACAACAGAGGTAAGCCAACTCTGAGCGTTTTTTCTAAAGCTGCAAGTAGATTATTTGATTGCCACTGATGGCTAATACTGTTTTTGTTTTTCTGTAGTGGATGAGCCCCACTTGTCTCTGCCACACATGGAAACCCCTGGAGGGGAGGAAGTCCCTGTTGCACCCCCACAGCTAGAAGGAGAGGCAGCAGCTGCTATGCGCCCCTCTCTAATCTCAGGCTATTCCAAACAGTTTCAAAAGTCTTTACCGCCTCGTTTCCTCAGACAGCAGGTAGAGATGTTCACATCTAGCTTCCTGAGTTCCTGCTGAATGTGATGCTGCTTGCTATGCACATGTGCAAGGGGCTAGCTGGGTAGTTGCCAAACTTGATAAGAAATATTAGGAGAAAGAAATGTTTTCTTTTCAATAATTGACTAACGATAGCAGGAGAAGTTTAGATGTACAAGTAACATTGTTTAACTAGGGATGGTTTTCCAAAAACTACTGAATTTGCAAACACATTGACAAAAGTGTTGTTACTTGTTTGCAAAGGCTTGAGTTTAAAGAAATGATTTGTCCCTTTTGTGTGCACTGCACTTTCAGAACAAGCAGATATGACATGGAACCATGAGTATATACCATTTAAAACAAATTAGCTTCAATCATCTTAAATTTCTCTTCTTCATTGGTCATGTAGGAGCAGATGAAGCAGCAACAGTGGCAACAACAGCAACAGCAGAGCGGGGGCTCTGTGTCACCATCAGGTGGTGGAAGTGTTCCAGCTACCCAACAGCAGCAACAGCAGCAGCAACAACAGCAACACCGCTCCATGTATCAACCTATGGGGCCCCACCACCAGCACTTGGCCTCCATGGGGTTTGACCCCCGCTGGCTCATGATGCAGTCTTACATGGACCCCCGCATGATGTCAGGCCGCCCCCCCATGGACATGCCAGCTAACATTCACCCTGGTAAGTGCATATGTAGAATAGAAACCTGGAATATATAAGTATGTTTATGATTAATATGATGGCTGCTGGACAACCTGTTCAAAGTTGCTCTGCTTTTGTCCTCATCAGGGAGGATGCCTCCTAAGCAGATTGTGCGCAGAGAGCCAGGTGACAACTCCAGCTCCAGCTCCGACTCATTCGACCACTTGACCCGACCGATTCGTGACCATGGCCTGCCCTCAGACTCACGGATGGTGTGGGGATCAGACCCGTACCCCCAGTCAGAGCCGTTACCTTCTGTAACTCCTCCAAAAGGACGGGATGATAACAAAGAGCAAAGGTAAAAGGAAAAAAATATATATTAATATAGTAATAGGACTAATAGCTTTTGTTTTGTATTCATTGTTGTAACACAATCCCAATTGTTTGTTTGCAGGATGGACTCTGGTTTGGATCTGGACAGGGGTCTTCCAGCTATCTACCCCCAGGACCACGGTGCATTGGACTCTCGTAAAAGTAATTTCTTCCGGGACCCTTCAGAGTCCCTGTCAGCATTTTCCCAGGGTCCAGAGGATGCGCCGGGACCTCTCGACAGGGTCCCTGTTGGTTCAGCCTTTGATCCTGAGGAGCCTGGCTTGCCAAGTGGGGAAGAGGTAGAAGCTCTTGGTCAAGCCATGCTCCAACGGAGTGTCTCACAGGGCTCCAGCCACTCCCTTAAGCTGGATGAGCCTCGGTTTGATGGGTTACCTCTAGGAACAAAATCTCTGGAGCTACAGGACACAGGGGAACGGGCTGATGATAAGCCACAAAATGAACTCTACTCCCAGGCTGCAGTAACCAGCAACAGGGCTACACCTCCTGCTGATGGATTACACAAACAAGAGAAGCTGCCTCTGCCAGCCCCCAGCAAGCAGAAAGCTGAGCTGCGTTGGGGTGGGAGATCAGGTGCTGGACGCAGAGAAGGACCAGGGGGAGAGAGACCAGTCCGCAGGTCTGGGCCAATAAAGAAGCCAGTCCTGAGGGACATGAAAGAAGAGAGGGAGCAAAGAGAGGAGAGGGAGAAACGTCATGAGAGAGGGGAAAGAGGAGACAGGTCTAAAAAGGATCAGTCATCCAAAGCTCCTTCTGCAGCTGCTGCTGTGTCTGAGGGCTCCAGACCTCAGGGTGAGGGAAAAAGAGAAACTGCTGAGGCAGAGGAAATACCGACTGCCCATCAGAGGGCCAGAGACTCTCAGCCTTCCTCTGGGGTGCCCACCTCTTCTTCTCAGGAGGAGAAAGCTGACAAACCGCCCAGCAATGACAAACATCCAGAACCCAAACTGCCCTCTCGGAAAGAGTCCAACCTTCCTCCACGTGCCTACCGACGAGAGGAGAGAGAGAGGGAACGGGACCGGGAGCGGGACCGGGACCGTGATCGGGAACGGGAACGGGACCGGGAACGGGAGCGGGACCGGGACCGGGACCGGGACCGGGAGAAGGAAATGGACAAGGACAGAGAGAGAGAATGGCCTGCTGACTCTAATTTTAAAGGACGTGGTCGAGGAGAGTATTACTCCAGAGGACGGAGCTACCGGGGTACTTACAGTGGCCGTGGGAGGGGGAGTCGTGGTCGAAGTCGGGCAGAATACCCTTATCGAGAGCCCCGATCACGCTCCGATTTACCTTCTGCTGGAGGTGCTGCTGCTTTTCGGAATAGGGAAGAAAGCGAGACACGCAGTGAAAGCTCAGACTTTGAAGTTATACCAAAACGCAGACGGCGCCGCGGTTCGGACACAGACTCTGAAAGTGAAGGTGGGAGGGAGTCTGCCAGTGACACTGGACCTTCAGACCGTGAGCCGAGCACCAAACCTAGCCGTCCATTGAGAAGAGAGCTCCCTGGGGAGGGCCGATCGGGGCCCCACAAGCCAGGCTTTGGACCTCCTCACATGGGAGAAAAGGTTGGATCAAGAGGGGACGATGAAAGCCGGCCCAAGCCAGGATTCCTTCCTAAAGGAGAGCCTTCTCGGCGAGGAAGAGGAGGATTATACAGTAGACGAGGTGGAGCAAGGGAACGTGGAGGTCCTCGCTCAGCCCCTCTTAGACGGCCTGCAGCCAGAGATTCCTCCTCTCAGTGGCCCTCTAAACCCATGGAGACATTCAGGCCGGAGGACACAGAGTCCGCACCAAGATATGACAATCCTCCCTCTGACAGACGACCACCTAAATCAGATGGCAAGAAATTTGGGGACGGGGGTCCTCAGAGTAGCAGAGAAAGGCCTCGTCGATCCAGACCAGCACGGCCCCCAAGGCAAGACAAACCCCCTCGCTTTAGGCGCTTGAAAGAGCGTGAGGCTGCAGTGTTGGCTAGTGGAGAGACAGCCCCAAGTCCCCCTGTTCCTTTACCCTCAGTGCCTGCTGCTGCTGTCCCCAGTTCTGCACCTGCCTCAGTCTCCCTCTCCCCAACCTTGTCCAGAGCTCCAGGAACCCCTTTAACTGTGCCTGCGGAAGTTGCAGCCACTCTACCTGCCCCCGACCTGCCCTCTCCTTTAGAAGCACCTCTACCTGAGACCAGCAGTCCCACCATCACTGCAGTCGGTACCAAGTCCCCTGACCTGTCAAACCAGAACTCTTCAGATCAAGCCAATGAGGAATGGGAAACTGCCTCAGAGAGCAGCGACTTCAATGAGAGGAGAGAGCGAGAAGAGAGGAAAGGCGCGCTGGAGGCTGCAAATGAAGCAGCCACAGCTTCTGCTCCAGTGCCTGCACCCCCCCAGGGCTCTTTGACTCCCAGTAAAAGCCCACCTGATGGAGGAGTAACTCCAAAACGTGAAGGAGCTCCTGCAGCCAAGAGGAGTTTCTCGAGTCAGAGGCCTACAGAGAGACAGAATCGTAGAGGCAACAGTGGAGCCAAACCAGGTCGCAGCTACACAGGGGGCAAAGGAGAGAGGAGAGGAGGGGCCAAAACCGGCCGCAAAGGGTGAGTTTGAAACAATCAGGCTTTTGTGTGTTGTTGAGCATTTACTTTGTCTGCTTACATTAACACTTGCACAGAGAAATAGACTCAATGAACAATGTGCTGTAGAGTAACACTGCAAGTTCATTCACTCACAATAATACCTCTTGTGTAGTTGTTATTGTTCCTAATTAGGAGTGGTACAGAATAACACTAGAGCAGAATCTAAACTCTCATTAGTGTTGGTATCGGCTGTTCAGATTGGCTTGAGCTATTTTTAAAGGATTCTCTGGTTGAGTGTATTATGGTCGTCAGCATTCTGTTATTGACTACTAAAGTAACGATGATAATAAATAATAATTGGATTGGTTCATTACTGTAGCTCACCTGAGTGAGCAGGCACCCAATGTACATGGGCTGTAGTCCATAATGCACTATTTTGGTTTGATTGTTGTTCAGAGGAATTTTGCATGTTGCCCCCATCGACTCCTTTTCTGACTTTATCTTGAACTGAATATTAAACACAGGCAACATCTCCCCCCCCAAAAAAAGAAGGGAAAAAAAACATTTTGATTAAAAATAGCTAAATATGCTATCAGAATGGTGATATTTTTAGACTCTTTTTGTACCTCGGCTATCTGAAGGAGAACATGTCCTTTTAGCTACTGCAGTGTAGTTCCTTCTTATCTTCCAATTCAGATGACGGTGATGAAATAAAATAGTTTCTTGCTTGTAAACAAGGTTTACTGGCATAGCCATTGAATCACTTGATTATTTACTGGTATTATGTACAAATATTTGTATTGGGTTACCTGTCCTTCAAAACCACGCTGCTGCTTCACTGACAATAAGATGTGCTACGTAGTCTCTTGCTGGACTTGAATTTTTCCTTTTATCTCCAATATATCTCTGAAATAAACAGCCCCGCAGCTCAACAGAATTTGGAGGCAGCAGCACCAGCAGCTGGAGGAGCAGCCCAGAGGTCTACGAAAGAGCAGTCTGCCCGTCGCAAAGATGAGGCCAAACAAGCCACCAAGAAGCCCAAGGAGAACGCTCTTTCTCAGTTTGACCTCAACAATTATGCCAGTCAGTAGACGCATTAATACTCCCGCTCTTGTCTCTTAATGATAACATAGAAAACCTTTACCTGACTCCTGTTGCTCATCACCTGAAAACTGAATGTAAAATTCTGGTTGCTGTAGGTGTTGTGATTATTGATGACCACCCAGAAGTCACCACCACAGAGGACCCGCAGTCCAGCGCCAATGATGATGGCTTTACAGAGGTCGTCTCTCGCAAGCAACAGAAACGCCTGCAGGATGAAGAGAAACGGAAAAAGGAAGAGCAGACTACTCAGGTATTGAGACAATTAGTCTGCACCATGTCATTTTAAAAACTATGTGCCTAAACAGCAATGCATTACTTCGGTGAAAATAAGCCATACTGCTTTAATATACTATTATTATTCTTGCTGCTTTTACAGAACTGGGGTAAAAAAGGCTCAGGTGAGAAGAGCAGAGGAGGAGGAGGAAAGCTGCCACCAAGATTTGCTAAAAAACAGTCTTCGCAGCAGCAACAGCAGCAGCAGCAACAACAACAACAGCAGCAACAACAACAGCAGCAGCAGCAGCAACAACAACAACAACAACAACAACAACAGCAGCAGCAGCAACCGCAACCACAACCACAACCACAACCGCAACAACAGCCCTCACAGGCTCAGCCTCCTGTAGCCTCTGCCCCTCAGGCCCAACAGCCGCCTCCCATTTCTGCTGCCCCGCATCCTCACCTTGCCCCCTCCCAGCCTGCTGCAGCGCCTCAGACACTGGAAGGAACAGTGGCTCCTCTGCCCGCCATCCCCCCTGCTGCTGTCGACTTCACCTCAAAGACGCTACCACCTGCACCGACACAGACGCACAGCACTCTGGGTACAGAACTGTGGGAGAACAAGGTAGCAGGCTCCACTGTCCTTCCTGAAGTCAAGAAGCGTGAGTAGAAAAGTTTTTGTCTTAACTTCTGAATCTTGTTTTAAGGCAGGTGTGACTTTATCTGCCAGATCTGTCTAAAAATACACAATCTGTATATTCCAGTTGGTCCAATCAGCCCTCCCCAGCCACCTTCTGTGAGTGCCTGGAACAAACCTCTTACCTCCTTTACTGGCACTGTCTCCTCTGAGGTAGGCTCAATGCCTGCCACACCTTAAATGACTGTTTGATCCTTTTACCGCATGATAAACCTTGAACGATATGTTTTGTTTTAGGGTGTGAAACCTGGAGCTGAGGGCAGTGTCGAATTGGGAATAGACAGTATTCAGTTTGGAGCACCATCATCGGCAGGCAGCACTGACAGTGATGGAGTTCCCGCATTGCTAGAAAGTGGCTCTGAAAACAAACTACCTGCTCCCAAAGAACAGAGACAAAAACAACCTCGAGCTGGCCCAATCAAAACACAGAAGGTAACCGGACTGTTCAGGAGATCACATCGTTTTACAAGACTGATCAATACTAATTCTGTTAAAGTCTACTTCAGTTTAAACGTTTTATCTCTCTTCCTCAGCTCCCTGAGATGGAGCCAGTGGAAACCAAGGAGTACAAGCCAGGTCCCATTGGTAAAGAGCGCTCTCTGAAAAACCGTAAGGCCAAAGATGCACGTGGAGGAGAAGGCGAAGGGATGGAGGCAGGAGTACCAGGAGGAGGCGTCAGCAGAACCACAGACTCCAGTCCTCCCACTAGTGATACTACAGTACCTGAACTGGGAGGAGACATCGAGGGCATGATCACAGTCCCCTCAGCTGAGTACAACAGTAACTCAAAGGTATAACATCTCAGACAGGCTGTATATTTTTATCATACTTGAGTTATACTGCTGAGTGACTAAATTCATATCAAAATTATTTTTCAAAAAGACTAATTAATGTTTATTGCTAAATGAGTACTTTTAATAACTCAAAGTAACATGTACATAATAGATTTGGTGATTTACCTGTGAGAACATTTAACGTAGTAAAGTATTACTGCTGTAGTACAACATTTGTGTGTGTTTATGTGCTAACTTCTTGCCCATCCCTTTTAGGAATCTGTCACTGACTATACCACCCCGTCCTCCTCACTGGCTGACAGTGTTCCTACAGGAGGGAACAAAATGGAAGAGAGTTTGGTGGCCAATGTGAGTATACTTTTCCGTACACAGGCACAAATTTATCATACAATCATACAGTGACTCTAATTTGAGGAAATGACATCTTTCTTCTTCATTTTTGGTGAATTCAAGGTTGCGCTACCTCACTCGTTGCCTCTTCCTCGCCGAGAAACTCTGCAGCAGAGCTCCAGCCTCAGCACTGTATCTCCTGCTACTGTTGACCTAACACTAAAGGTACACAAATGTACAGTACACTCCAACAAACATTACTTTCTATGAGAAATACTGCCCCTCAATGTTTCAGTGCAATGTCACCTAAGCACCTGTTTTATTTCCTCTACCTCCTCAGATGGAATCGGCACGTAAAGCATGGGAGAACTCCCCGAGTCTGGAGAAGAATTCTCCAGTCACCTCCTCTTCCTCCCCCATCACCTCCTGTGCTTCCTCTTACTCCTCCTTCTCCTCAGCCTCCATGCCACAGATCCCTGTGGCTTCTGTTACCCCCAGCACCTCACTGTCAGGTAACACAACTCCCACTTCCATGTATTGAATACCTCTTACAGTGCTGTTTGTTGCCACAACACTGTGTTAGAATCAATTATAATTTCTTATGTTCACCATTTGATCGTTTCCGCCCTCCAGGTTCTGGTACTTACACAACATCATCCCTCAGCACCAAGACCACCACAGCCTCTGACCCTCCTAACATCTGTAAGGTGAAGCCCCAGCAGCTGCAAGGTGGAAGCCTGTCATCCTCCAGCAGCAGCAGTAGTAGCAGCAGCTTCTCTCAGCTCGGCTGTGTGCCTCCCCTCCTCCCCCAGCAGCAGCAGACCCCACAGGTGTACGTCTCCCAGTCTGCAGCAGGTGAGAGAATCTTTCTTTGTTGGTTTCTTTAGTCCTGATGGTTAAGTTTCATATTTAAAGAACTGTTCATGCCTGTTACGAATATAATATTTAATGACCTGTGTGTTCAGGTTCTGCAGCTCAGATTCCAGCCTTCTACATGGACACTAGTCACCTCTTCAGCACCCCTCATCCTCGATTGGCTCCTCCCTCCTTGGCACAGCAGCAAGGCTTCCAGCCCGGCCTCTCACAGGTAGGATTTTCTGTGAAATTTACATGTTGCAGCATCTAAATAGCAATAAAGCATAGTAGGAAACTAGACCAGAAATACAAAAGTAAAATGAGTATAAAAAATAAAGGTAATAACGATGTACGAATTTCACATGTGCAGACATGGCATCATAGATATACAAATGGAAACACACTACAGAAGTGTTAAATGTTGAAGGTCAAACCATGTTTTTCTCCCATCTTACAGCCGACAGCAGTGCAGCAGATTCCCATCCCTATTTATGCTCCACTGCAAGGTCAGCCTCAGCACCAACACACGCACCAGGCTCAGCTTGGACTCAGCACTGGTCCTCCAGTATCACAACCACAGGACCTGTTCAGCTCCTCACTGCAGCCTTACAGGTAACAACACCACAAGTATTCAGCTGTCTGCTCTAAAAAAAATAATATTCACATTTTAAAGCATCTAATCCTCCGGATCGGTCCTCCCTCAGGTCTCAGCAGGCGTTCATGCAGAGCAGCTTGTCACAGCCCTCCATGATGCTGTCAGGACCATCTTTGCACAGCTATCCCGGCGTGCAGGCCCCTGAGCTCGGCAAGCCTCAGTCCAATCTGGCCTATCAGCAACCCTCCTCCACCCAACACATTCCCATTCTGTTTGAGCCGCAGCTCAACCAGCCCTCTGGCATGGGAGGGTCCCAGCTCATTGATACCCACCTGCTGCAGGTAACCAGACAGATCCCAGGAAATATTCAACTTACTTTGGATATTGACTGACATTCTGTTGAACTGACAGCTGTATTTTATTTATTTCGTGTATGCATGTATTCCATCTGACATATTTGTGTCATTGGTTCAGGCTCGACAGGGGATGAATCAGCATTCAAACATGTACTCAGGGCAGGTGCAACAACATGGTCAGAGCAGCTACTACAGCAACACTCAGTCGCCAAGTTCTGCAATGCAACAGGTAACCTACATGCAGACATTTAACATTTATGAAACTATTTCAGCAGCTTGTGTTGATTAAACAGTTGTCATAGTCCAAAATGTGTTCAATGCAGTGACATGAAACAGAAAAGCTGCACAATTTTTTTTGAAACAGTTAACAGTCGTGTCTTTATTTCTCTCCAGGTGACGGTCCCTCTGCCTGGTTCCCAGTTGTCCCTGCCCAACTTTGGTTCGGGTGGAGGTCAGGCTCTCTTGGCGCTGCCTCCCACGCCTCCTCAAGCTCAGCCCCCCAACATCAGCCGACAGCCTCCAGTGTCTCAGCCGTACCGAGGCATCATGGGCCCTAACCACAACATGATGCAGCCTCCCACCAGCAAGGTACTGTACTGTGTTTGACTCTGTTCGAGCAAACAAGTCGGTTTTGGTTTTTACAGGAGGTGTAACAGATTTTATTTTTTTTGTGCTACTTTGCAGATGGACATGGATCTGAAACTGTTTGGCAGTGGAATGGATGTGAAGCCTGGAACCCCTCCTGTCAGCGGCCGCAGCACTACACCCACCTCCAGCCCTTACAGGTAAAAGTGTAAATGTATATCTGTACATCTGTAGCACAGTAGTGACAGTGTTGCGTTTTGTGCCTCTGCAGGATGCCTGTTGTTACAGTGTGTATCACAATGTTAATACAGCAGCTGATGAGATCTCCACACTGCAAAAAGAAAAAAGAAATCCTCTTCAAAACATATGCTGCGGCTCTCCACTTTATGCAAAGTGCAAGGCTAGCACAATACAATTTTTTTTTACTTGATCATTAAACACTGCATGCGACAGAAATGTGTTTATCCCAAAATGAGGTTAAAGGATGAGATATGTTTCTTTGTGATGCAGTGTCAAAAACAATCATAACTTCAGATAAAAGAACTCCAGAAAATTTCACCTTAAATCTACACCTTAGGTCCATAAATCTATCATCAGACTCCCAGGGTCCACATGTTTTTGGTTTTGAGGCAGTGAAATTCCTTTGGGATCACAGAGAGCATTGGAAACCACCTACGAGCTTTTTGAATTGGTACCGAAGATCCTTCACATGAACTTCTTTCTTCTGGGTGATGATTTGTATCTATAACCACAAGTTATACAGTCTGTCATACAGCCAAGGAGAGTGAGAGATGTGGCTGAAGACAGAAGACTCTGCAGTCTGGGGGTTTGGATGAGAAGTTATTGTCTCACTGTTGTATTTCTCAGAGGTTCTGATCTTCTAAGAACATGCATGAATTCTGTGCGTTTCTATGCTTTGGTTTCTCTTTAATGTCTAATGATGACGTTCTGTCACGCTGCTGTTATCTAAGGTCACATTGCTGGAATTTACAGTTTTCCACATGCAAATATGTGGTCTTTGCTGTGCTTGCGACTTGTGGTTTTGTGGTTGTGTTTTGAGACTAGGTGGCCATGCTCTGGCCTATATAAAGGATGGGGAATAAGAAACTCCTTTGACGCTAAAGATGCTATATTAAAACTTTTGTCTTCAGGTGCATTTGTCATGTTTTTTTTTTTTTTTTTTTTTTTTTTACATAAATGTGAGTTGCCTCTGTGAAGGTTTTTTAAACTGTGTGTGGATCTTATGTGCAACTCAGAGAGACCACATACACGTTGCTAATCATTGACTCAGACAGACATTAGGTGTTGCAGTGTTTGAACATTTTTTCAGGTGTTGTTAACGTCTCGTGTGTTGTTATAATATTTCCCTGTCCTCTTCCTGCAGGGCCAGTTCCACCTCTCCAAGCAGCCAGTCCAGTAAGATGAACAGCATGCTCTACCAGAAGCAGTTTCAGCCCAGCTCCGCTGGCATGAGAATGACACAGCACTTCCCTGGCCAGTTCAACCCACAGGTTATACATGAACTATAATCTAACAATAACTTCTATTTTGTTTTATTTAATGTACTGGTTAGTAATATGAGCAGCACCTCACTGGAAGCATTTTTTTCCTTTCTTTGTTCAGATTCTGTCTCAGCCCAGCATTGTCTCTCCTCTGGTTCGCCCTCCTCACGCTAACTCCTTTGCTGGAGGTGTCCAGCGTTCTCCGATGGGCCCCCCAATGTCGCCCAATGTGGGTGGTGGTCTCATGCCTCATCCCCGACCCCAGCACCCACAGCACCCACAGCACAGCCAGCACCCTCCCCGGGGACCCTCTGGTCCCTCTCTCGCACCCAGAGGCACGCAGGCAGCTCTGAAGGCTGAACAGGACCTAAAGGTGTGTGTATTTGCATCTGTTTTGTTCATGTGGCTGGTTCAGTCATGATCTTTTGCTGATGGGTGGGTTTTTCTTATTTCCTTCTGTGACTCTGCAGGCAAAGCAGCGGGCTGAGGTGCTCCAGTCCACTCATAAGTTCTTCTCAGAGCAGCAACAGCAACAGCAGCAGCAACAGCTGAAGGCCCCGCAGGTCAGCAAAGCACCTCGACTTGATCAAGGAGGAAAACCTCCAGTCGACACCTCAGCTCCAAACCACCAAGCGGTAGTCGAACGCCCAGATTCTGACAAACCCCCCGTCTCCACGGCCAAGCCCATACGGACTGGCCCCATAAAGCCGCAGGCCATAAAGCCAGAAGAGGGCAAGTAAAGATCTTCCGACCCTCTTCAGATGACGACATGAATGGATGGAGGAGAGGAAGAGAGAATCTTGCCCCATTCACTCAGCCACCACCTCATATCAGCCCTGGAGGACAGCGTGGGGGAGGAGGTTGAATTGGGTGGAGATTCAGATGGTTGTGGTTACTGACAGTAGCCACTGTCATGCGTAAACATAATCCTCTTCCTCTTCTTTCTTCCCCTGTCTTGTCCCACTGTAGGTGGGGGCATTTGAGTTGGATTCTTCCATCATATTTAGATGCCGATAAAGTTGCTGCACAAGTTGTTCCATAGAAATCTACTGCGACGGTAGATAAGAGGAGAGCTGGAGAGCGAAAATCGAGATTTGCTGCTGAGTTTGCCATTTTTATAGCTCTTCGTTTCTGTTCCTTTTTAATTATTTTTTTCCCAAATAGGATCACACATATTATAGGAGAAACCTGTTTTGTTAACGAAAGAATGAATCGGATTTGTTTTTGTAGGCAAAACAATCTTAAGGAGATGTCATTTAGTGAAGCACACTTTCTGTTGCCCAATCTCCCATTATAACTAATCCAGAGATCTGTGCACAAGCGCACACACTCACTCAACGGTTTGATCCAATTACTGCACGGAGAATTGAAATCTAAAATTTTGTTGTCATTTTTTTTTGTTTGTTTTACCAGAATGGAAATGTGAAAAATTGCAGCATTTGATTGACTTTAATGATTGATTTGATTCGGCTGCCTGTGAGCCTTTGCTCCTGCCTTCTGCTCTCATCTCCTTGCCTGAGAAATACTGATGTGTTGGGGTGTGTGTGTGTGTGTGTGTGTGTGTGTGTGTGTTGGGTGTGTGCTCGTGGTATAAACAGGGGGGAAAAGCTTGTAGCTGGACTCTCCTGTATATTTAGCCAAAGGTTAAAGCAGCGCAGAGATGATGTCACAGCCTTTTAGGATCATGTTGCCACAGCAGCAGGGTTTTGAGCGGACTTTAAAGGATTACATGGATGATGTATGATCACTACGTACAGGTGTTCCAGCACAGGGGGCTACTGTCACACACCCTTTCACTGCTTTCACACCCATCCTTGCTGTCACACAAACACACATGTACACACTTCACTGTAAAGCACCCAGACCTGCTGCTATTGACTGATTTCAGTGCCCTTAGCTAGACTATGGCAGGATAGGGCTGTTTAGAGGAATAGACACGGTGAGTTTGATTGTTGAAACAGTAGAAAAACTTTTGAGTGTGTATGTCGTCCTTCACGGCGAGGGGGATCAGGAACAGGACGGAGAACAAGGAAAATGAAATGAGAAGCCTCAACTTCTGAAGCGTTTGGGCAGAAGGACACTTATTGTTTTGTTGTCTTTACTGATGAGAGCAATCAGTGCTGTTTTTCTGTCTCTGCCTCACCTCCGCTGGCTGTCCCACCCACAATGCTCTCATCTTGGGGTTGTGGCGACAAGGGTCCTTCAGAAATGTACAGTAGTATGCACCCTGAGGTGGTGAGGGAGTCCTCCTCACATCTACCTTGCTTTGGAGGATGGATGAGGGAGGGAGGGTAATGACTTTTTTTCTTTTTCTTTTTTTTTTTTTGTTTCTTTTTTTTGTTTTTGTTTTTTTTTTGTTGTACTTGTACAGGGGTTTCATCGCTGTATTAAAATATGTACGGTCTTATTTACATTCTCTTGGTTTGGTTACAGAAACTAATAAAAATAATATACTGTTGAGATGTTTTCCAGTGGTGTCTGGTTCTTACTTAGTCACTGCTCCACCTGGAAGCCAAATTCAGCATCTGACCAGGAGGTGTCACTGCAGTACTGTGGCTAAACGAGCAAAGATAAGGAAAATGTATTTTTCTTTCAGCAGAAACACGAGTGCCACTTTACAATAAGACACCTTTTGCATACTGTTAAGGATGAGGGGTAATGAAAAGTGTCATTAATGGAAAGTTATTTATTATTAGACAATAGGAACAATGTTTGGGTTGCCAGGTTGTGACTCCTGCTGTAAACCTCTAATTCCTCATGAAAACCCCTTTTTAGTTGGACGGTGTGACCAATGATCTAATGGGAAAAGGCTGTGAGACATCTGGTGCACAATTACCTTCCTAAAAATAAGAATAATTAATGATGATGATCGGCCTGCACGTCAGTGATTCTTCTTCCTAAGTGCACTACAGTGTATTTTTCATTCACTGATTCATACTAAACATGCTTGTCTGCCATTTCAAGCAACCTGGGCTTCACTTATCTTGCCCAGATGCACTTTGGCATGTGGACGGTCCTGGGATTGAAATTAAATTAAATTAAATGAAAAATACTTTATTTATCCCAGAAGGGAAATTCAATAATTGACCTGCCAACCTTGCAATTAGCGGACAGCTCAGACTACCAGCTGAGCTACGGCTGCCCCAATTACTCATATATATTACCATTATAAGGTATTAAAGACTACTTACTTTTAATGATGACTTATTGGACAGTTTTGCTCTTTATTAATGACTTGATTTTTGGTTTGACTTTAATAAAAACTTAATAGCCAGAGATTTTTCCTAACCTTTCTGTTAAACAGTTTTGAATGGCCTAGAACAGATTTATGACGTGAATGATCCCACTCCAAAACATCACATTTGCAGGTGGTAGCTCAGATGGTAGAGCACATGCACCGTGTGCAAAGTCTGCAGCAACCCAGGTCTTTAAAATATAATCATGAAGTCCAAAACATCATCTTTCACAAAGCAAACTGCACAGGTAACCAAACAGCCCTCATTTTAGCCTTGTATTTCTAGATAATCGATTGTTCATTACCTAAAGATTGGGAGAATTCCTTTATTAGTTATTAGCTTGTACTGAAAAATTAATCATCTGGTGCTACTTTGTTCTCTTTGGCCCAAAAAGCCAGGTGCTTTTGTAAGGTGGCCGCCAAAATAGCTTTGTTGCTCAGTAGTTCTAATTTTTTCTGTAGTCCTACTGGAGGGATGAGCGCCATTCGTATTCCCTCATTTGGTGTTTTGATGATGATGGTAAAGATCACCATCTACCACATCAGTCCAAAATCTCCCGTAGGTCTTAAAAAGGGTTGAGAGTTTAGGACTGTGAAGGCCACCACATATAATTTACAAACTCATCAAACCTTTTCATTCATTTCATTGATAGGATAAAGATTACCAATCAGAAACACTTTGTACTGATTTGCAGTGACCCTCCCTTTTAAAAAAAGCCAAATGATGGCTGCAATATGCGTAACAGAGCCACCAGATCCCCTCAATAAAGAAGCCAGGTCTTCAAGTTTTCTTTTAATTCATCACATCTGTATATATTATTTGTTATGTATGCAAAAAGTCACAATTCTTTAAAAAATGTGTTGCAAATAACCAGACAGACGGTTGTAGTTTAGGATTTTTAAGTTTATTTTATGACGGTTTTGAACATTATGTTGACTACAGTGTACAAGAACATGCAATATTCAATACATGCTAAGTGAGAGAGCAGTTTATTCGATAGAAGGTGTTGACTGGTGAAACATTTTGAGGCATGTCGTACCACAGGAGTTGTCAGTTGTATGCATTGATTATCCCACTTAGCTAGTAAAATTGAACTATGCTTCATGTTTTTCAGACTTCAAATATATATATAGCTTAACAAGAAAACAACAAAATCATACATCTGGATTAAAGGCGGTACAAAAATAATTCCTCTAAAAACACGTTTGTGGATCACGCCACAGCAAAAAGCCCTCCCACTGAGAAAGAAAGAAAAGCAGACCTGTTGGGGACACTGTTCCTCAAATGTCTTCAGTTTGGTAGTTGGGCTCTTCTACATGTACGCGCTGATGGTGTTGGCTTTAAAACTGCTGTGGCCACTCATGTAAAGCTCTAAAGCTGTGAGTCTTTGAAGCAGGAACAGGTGAGCAAAGGTCACTTTTCAACAGTCACTCATGTTGGCCTCAGTTGGCCTGCTGGCGACCCAGCCTGAGGTCATAGGACACTATGTGGAAGTTGTCCCAGGCAAACAGCTTCCTCTGAGCCACGTTATAGTCAATCATGCTGTTGTAGCCGTACTTGTTCCTGAAGGGTATGGCCATGGCCTTCCCCTGGCTGGTTTCGGTGTCATACATGTGGTTGATGATGGTTTCAGGAGCGGCGTAGCTGGCCACGGTGTACAGCCTGCCACAGATCATGAAGGAGTTGGCCACAGAGTTCTTCCTGATGTTGGTCTCCCAGCTCTTCTTCACCTCCAGACTGTGCGGGTCGAGTTGTGAGATCACGATAGCTCCTTTGGCCTTGCTGGTGGAGTAGACGGCCCACAGCCCCTTCTGGTCTACGGCCAGGTCGATGTCTGTGTAGCCTCCCCAGGAGTAGGGGAACTGGCCATGGAAGCCGGCGTGGGGAAGATCACGACGGGCTGCGATGGTCTCCGAGGCCAGGTCATAGCGGATGAGGGTGCGGCTGCGACGTCTCTGATAATACAGGGAGCCTCGGAACAAAGCGGCACCAGTGCTCTCAACTAGCTCTGGCAGCAGCAGCACCTGTAATAGAAGACCATGTGACAATAACTTGGAATAACTTATAATGACCAAACAAAATATCCATATCGAAACCCACGTGACACCAACCTTGGATGGAAAGCCTTTAGCGAGCTGCTCCATGTCCTCATACCCAAACAGCTGCCTGACCTCAGTGCCAATGGCATCGATACGCCACACCATGTTGGGTCCATAAGGAGAAACAGCCTCAGGGTCCTGCATCCAAATACCATATTTACCAGCGATGTTGTCAGCCTTCCTGTGAGTGATTGGCTCAAGGACTGAAACCAACACCCCACAACCTGCAAGCAAGTAGGAAGGGAAACATCAGAGGGAAGCATACCAGGAACATGCTCTAAGAAAGACGCTATCTGATAAGAACACTAGAGGACTGTGTGTTCGAGGAAATTTTAGATGCATGTATCTGAATTTTCGTGATTTTTTTTCCACTCAAATACACCAACTATCAAGCTCCTCTGCTGTGAAACCAGCTTCGAGTTTGGCTTCAAGAGGCAGATACCTTCTCTACTTTAAAGATTAGGCCTAAAACTTTGCTTTTTGATAAAGCTCAGGAGAGTCAGCTCTATGATCTAAAAAAATACCAAGCAGCTTGATCTAAATTACCAAGCAGTTAAAAGCTGGCAACCCTGAGATCACATTCAAAAATCCAATATTTGACTAAGCATGAACAAGCTTTCAATACTAGACCCTACAAGATAATGCGCTGACTGTATGGAGAGTCTGTGTTAGGGCTTGTGTTGGGAAACTGCTCAGGAATAAGCAGCAGCAGTCTTTAAAAGCAGCTGTCTTCAAATCCAATCTGCCTTTTGAGTATGTTTGTTCCTTAAGGTGACTTCAGGAGAGAAGTCACACAGTAAGCAGAACACAGTAAAGGGGATCAACATGGCTGATGGATGACGAAGGTAACTTGAGAATTGATCGAGGCTGTGATTAGGTCGTCAGTTCTCATCACAGAGGCAGACAGCAGGTCTGGAGATGCTGCCTGACATCTCCGTCAGCCTCAACTTTGCCTGAGTCACCACCATGAGAGCAGCAGCAGCTGTGCTACAACTCATCCTGGGCAGGAACTCTCCACTTCTCTTACTGGGAAAGCGATAAGGCCGGCCATATATTTACCACTTCCTAAAATACACCCTCTGCTCTCAGGCCCAGGATGTGGCACCGGATTTAGGGTTAGATAGGAATATGTCTTATAAATACACCCATTACCTTGTAGCTTCTCGGAGGCTCGGCCTCGTCGGAGATTAAATGGCTGCACGTGTTTACCGCACGTGTATTTTCATGATCTATCAAACGATCAAACCTGCTGAAAACAATTCAACAGGATGATCCATGATGATGTGATTTTGGGAAACACCACCCAGGGGGAAGGTTAAACAGTATGTGTGGCATCCTCCTTAAAGGTGCTTTCCCTTTTTACATTCGACAAATGTAAACATGAATGTCAGGATGGCCCTCATTCCTACGGATTGGCATGACTGTGGTATTCTCGCCCCAAATGCCCCAGTATTAATAGTAGTATTTGCTTTGAGGCTGTCAGCAGGGGGGTGAGTGTCATGTTTGCCAGGTCAGATGGGAGGAGGGGGAAGGAAGAAGAGGGGAGTGAGTCCGATGTCTCCTTTTAAAGGTCCGAACAAGTGCGTTTAAGCTTCATAAATTAGATGTTTTGACTGTGCAGCTTTGCAGTTTGAACGTATTTTTCTTGCAGATTCAGGCAACCTTTGGGCCGTCTAATGAAACATTCATACTAAAACATTTGATATTAAAGGTGCTCTGTGGAGTTTTCTTATATACAAACAAAACACCTGTTTGTGTTCGTTGTTTTGGGCTTTTTTGGTTTTGGTAGATTTTTTTTTTTTTTTTTTTAAACCAAAATTCACTGTGTTTCATGTATTTTCCAAGACCAAGTTTTTCTCATACTGTAATTCCTACATGACTGTAAGGGGGCATCCAGTCTTCTGCTTCCTCTATACCTTTGTGGGCATTTCTTCTTTTTTTTTTTGCACATTATGGGCAACAGCTCCCAATCAGGTGTATATCATGCATGCTTCGGACAAAAAAGGCTTTGCTTTATGGTGCTATTGGTGGTTACAAACTCCACAGGGTGCCTTTATTTGTGCAAATGAGCAAATTAAGAGCTTTAGTCAACTTCGTCAATGTTACAGTACAGACAAATTGGAACAAATGAACATCTGTAGGGGTAGTAAGCCTATACAATCAGATCTGTGAGAAACATGAGTATAGCGTAGGGGCGACAATGGGCAAAATAAGCCACATATTCCAATTTAAAGACCTGTGCCGTCGTCATTGCCGTCTGGAGCCGGCACCTCCGTCACTTCTGCCTTCAGCTCCTGAAAGCCCGGAGTTCCATACTGCCAGGCTGAATCTGCAGCGAAAAGAGAGCTGGAGTGAGCTGAAGGAGTTACAGAGAGCAAATATTCTGCAGAAACCTCGTCTCACCTCTCAGGCTGCTGCTGTCTCCCTGCCTGTTGGGCCTGGTCATCAGGTGAGACATCGGACTGGAGCCTAAACACACAAATACACACATGGCGGCTTAGTGATTTCTGTTGCACGCTTTCCTTGGAACAGTTTGGAGAGAGTTTGCGTACCCAAACGTGTCTATGGCACTACTGACAGCAGGGAATGTGGCAGCAGGAAACAAACACCCCCTAAATGGATTCCCAGCTGCTCTGGAGTCAGACAGTCGGTAGATTGACTGACCATAACACACACACACACACACACACAAACACACACGTACACACACTCGGCACCCCGTCCCACCCCTGCACTGTCAACCTCACGTCCTCAGAACTTCAAACCAGCCGTTCGGATTTGGCTCTTCTTCTGTCGTATCACTGTCACATATCTTCTCCTCCCTCCCGTTGATTCATTCCTTTTGTTTCTTTCCTTATATTTTCCATTTGCCTCCTTCTTGAAACCATTGCTCTGAAAAGTACGTCAAAACAATATCTGTAAACTGTATACCCCTCAGAGGCTTGGCGATACAAACACAGGGGCTTTTGAAAAGAAAAAATAAGCAGTTTCAAAGGGTTTTCACGAAAGCTGATACACAGAGTGTGATTGTGTGCCTGCGTCCACAGCTAACTGTAAGCGTGAGCACGTTCCTGTTGTGCACGCCACACGTGTGTTCGTCCGCTGATTTCAGGCGCCTAATGAGGCCTAATGATGCAGGGAACATTAAACGCGAGCATCTGGAAGCTGATGTTGATTCTGTGCGTTGATGGAGAGGAGCAGGAGGCGGGTAATGGGGCAGATGACAGACAACAGGAATGTCGCTGGTGAGCGTGTTTCTAAACAGAAAAAATATTTGCGAAAGTTAACAGCTTGTGGGACAAAAGGGGTCCACGGTGGTTCAAGTGCTACAGGGCAGGGGGGGTTAACTGCAGCTATGCTCCCACTGGTCATTTATCATCATCACAGGTAAACAGCCACATTCTCCTATTGTAGTTTCCCCCTGGTGCAAATGAGGGGGGGGGTCTCTGCCATATGTGCCCTCATATCCGGCCTCTTTGTTTGGGATGTCACGGAGCAGAATACCATAAACCTCACTAATTTCCCAGAGGGGGTTGTGTGTGAGAGGAGACGGCAGCCTGATCGACTCCAGCCAACAGAGTTGGGCAGAAATCTTTGCTACGGTTTAGTCCAGTCATAAACAGTTTGCCTCTGGCTGTTTATTTTTCCTGCTTAGTCATAATTCAGGGTGCAGTGTATAAAAAACAGCATAAAAAAGGGGGTCAGAATCAGCCACAATCTGGTTGTGTAGTCGCCTAACCTGTTGCATGAAAAGCACGTTGACTGAGACGTTTTTTAAAAAAAGTATTTATGACTGCATTTCCTGCTGGCTGCACGTTCAGGAAATTGAAAGAAATCATATAAAAAGGCATGGAAGCTGCGTTTTGGTTCACCTACACGCTACGCTGTGTAAACTAAATAGAAACTTTAAGCAAATCTGGCCTCTGTGCTGCAGGCCCACCTTCATTTGAACAAAATCTCAAGCTTAAATGCAACACAAAGTTCTGTACCAAGCTGCACCTTTCACATTCGTTTCAGTTTTGCCTGGAGCACAGGTAGGTCATGCTCTAAGAAGAATGCTGCCACCTTAAGCATGCACACTGCTGATTTGTGTTGTCACTTCCCGTATAAATTTTATGTGAATGTCTATTTTTAAAGCCATAAAATAACAGAACATCAGGTCATATATTTTGAGTATTACTACGGGTCGTAACCGCTGCTTGGGTTGTAAATATTACAGATCTTCCTGTCAGAGTTTCCTTACTCTTCAATGCAAATCTTGCCGAAATGGTTTGACTTTCATCTCTTCCCTCCTCTGGACCTACACGTCTTCCTCTGCCTGTGATCTATCCGGCATCTGCCTGCCGCCCTGAGGGGCCTCCTCTGTGTATTTCAGTCTGCAGGTGCAAACATGAGGAGCTCAGCAGATAACCTGGAGCATGCAGGAGATACAGTATGTAAGTCCCTCCTGATGCACTGGGAGTTAGGACGTCCGTAAGGAAGGATTTACTGCGGCAGGCGATTTCAGCTTTTAAAGCGATCGACGCTCAGAGCCAAGAAGGTAAACAGAGCGACAGTTTAACTGAGAGGAGAAAGGGGGATGGTGACCAACAGGAGAAGGCGAGCGGGGAGGCCAATTAGACGGCTGTTTGGCCACTGCACACACACAGAATACCAGCGCTTAACCTTACTGGCTCCAGGATAACTCCTAAGCTCTGCGGAGGCCTCTAACCCCTGCTCGTATAGTGTTCTTGGCCCCAGACCTCCATCCCCACCAGCCCTGACCCACCAGGCGTCATCAAAAGCCGCTAGTTGAGACCTGGGCACGGAACTGCCGCTTCCAGAGCATGCATCACATTTCAGCCCTCCCCCCCTAATTTCCCCAACCGGGCTATTCGCACACTTCTCGCCATGCTGAGGGAAACACCAGTCATAAAGAAAGCAGGATCTGCCCATAAATACTAAGCTGATCCCCTCTGGCCTGCAACCATCGGCCCTGAATGTAGGGCAGGAAGTGGGGAGCACCGAAACCTGAGCTGAGAGACAAAATGAGCAACCAAAACATTAACCACACATACAAACAGGTGTGCATTATTAAAAGCCCATCACACGTTATTCAGCCTTTTTTTACTTCAGGATGATTGGTGCAGGCAGATCTGGTGTCAGAAAGAACCTGTCACCTCAAACAGACATATAAACACACATGCATGGGATCCCCTCCGGTGGACTGGAATTTTGTGTGACTCTACATGTGCCTGGTATTCCATACATAGATGACGTTTATGTGTCATCACTTCTCTGCTCCAATTAACCCGTTGTCCTTCAGTGGGAGTCACTAAACATATATTTCGACTGAAGGGCAACCTGTTCACAAGCAGATAGGTCACCAAGATGTGCATCTTAATTATAGACGGGAAAAAGCTTGTATAAAGTAAAAAAAAATCTACATGCACATTCATCTAAAAGCCTAATTTGACCCAAAAAAGGTAGAATATTAACAAGAAAATGTAATGGGCTTTGCAAAAAGGCTTATGTTTATTTGCTTTTTTAAAAAAAAAAAACATTGCATGTATTCATCTAAAAGTCAAACATTTAATCTTAACAGTAGAATATTCACAAGAAAACATTATTTTCTATTTTTGTGTCATTAAGTTCTGCAGAAAGGTTTATATGTAATAAAACATCTATGTGAATATTCATCTAAACATTTAACAGAAACAGTAGAATATTCACAAAAAACTATTTTCCATTTAAAAGCTTTGCAGAAAGTTTTATTTTAAATAAAAATCATTGTGTGCATTAATGTAAAAGGCAAACATTTAATAGTAATCTGGAAAATATTCACAGGAAAACATTGTTTTCTATTTGAAATGTAATTAAGCTTTGCAGAAAGGTTTCTATTCAATAAAAGTCTATGTGAACAATCACCTAAAAGCTAAATATTTATCCCTAACAGTAAAATATTCACAAGAAAACAATAATTTCTATTCAAAATGTCATTAAACTTTGCAGAAAGGTTTCTATGAAATAAAAATCATTGTGTGCATTCACCTAAAAGATAAATATTTCATCGTAATATTCACAAGAAATTGTAATTTTCTATTTAGAAAGGTCATTCAACTTCACATATTTCTGTAACAGAGTGTGTGGGGTATCTCTTACCACCAGTGGGTCTCTTTGGGCTCCGGTCCAGCAGAGGTTGGCTGGGTGGGACCACCGGGTTCTGGGGAGGACAGGGTCTGTTCCTCAGCCTCTCTGTCTCCCTCCTCATCTCCTCCATCCTGCGCTGAAGCTCCTCCAGCTCCCTCTCCAGACGCTCCTTCTCCCCCCGCAGCAGGTTCCTCTCTCCCTCCGCCTGGTTCAGTGCCTCCTGAAGCTCAGCCTGAGCTGTAGCTCCGGCCCCCTGGGGACCCCCTGGGAGCTGAGCCTCCCCTCCGCTCAGCCGGGACACCAGCACCTCCAGCATGGTGAGCCTCGCCTTCAGACCCTCCACCTCCGGACCCGAGACCTGTGGGCAGCTGGCCTCTGCGGGGCTGGGCACAGTGAAGGTGTACTGGCATCGTCCTCTTCTGTCGTTGTCTTTCCACAGAGAGGCTCGGTTCTGCGCTTCACCTCGCAGCAGAACACCAAACATGCAGAGTGAGAGAAGGAGGAACATGCTTGAAACGCTTCTTCACTCTTAAACCTTTTCTTCCTTCTGTCCTGTTTCTCCTCTTTTTACACAATTATCCTTTAAACCTTTTCTAATTCCCAATTTCAGGTGATGACTTTCTCAGTTTTCTATCTTCTCTCAGGTGTCTTTTCTTTGGCTGCTCAGTTGTTCCTCTCCTCCCTCCTCTTGTTCTCTCCTCTGTGAACAGGTCTGCAACACTGAGCTCTGCCCAACGGCTCACAGATATTTATACAATCTGGACGGGACAGAAGGAGGGAAGTAAAAAGGGGGAGAGAGGAGAGGTGAAAGGGAGGAAGGGGTGGAGATCAGAAGCAGGGAGGGGTGAGGCAAGCAGAAAAAAAAAGACATGAAAATGATGCTGGTTATTTTGGAGACGAAAACGTCACATTTTCACACAAGTTTGAATTTTGTCTGTCCTGTTTTTGTTATTTTTACTACTTGTGTATTTAAACATCTTATCTATAAAAGCCTTTCATTATATCCCTGATGCAGTCCCATGTGTCTGAGGGGATTCGCCTGAGGTTTGGGTTTTGCATGGCAGAAAAAAAAAAGGTCCTTGTTGGATACAGTTTCCTCCTGAGGAGCCGGTGTCCTCTTTCATATTGGTAGGGGGCCACAATGTGACGCAAGCAGCCAATAAGAGCCGCCATTACGAAGGGTCGAGGTTACAAGTCATTCGATGACTGGATACCTGACGCTGACCCCGTCTTCCCTCAGCCTGGTTTGTTGTGATCGGTGTATGAGTGTCTGTATTCATGCTGCAGACTTCACACGTTCACTGCAGATTGATGCTTTTATATTCATTTATATTTAACACATGAGTAAGCTTCCCCAGCTCCCTCCCTGCTGCCTGGGTGGATTTGTCTGCCTCCTGTCCCTCCTCTCTGGTCTCTTTGAATTTAACACAGTATCACTGACAACCAAAGCTTGCAAGGGCTCTTTTCTGCAGTCATGCGATATGGAGGACCTCTTCAGAGAGGCAGGATGCAGGATTTGGAAGTGAGACACTCGCACGGAGCCAGGCAGGTGCGCAGACAAACACAGCGTCCAATCCCACCAGTCCTAAACTCAGCAGCTCTCAGCTTACCCTCATATCCTGCCTCTTTGTTTTTGGTTCCTGGGATCTTTGCTGGCTCTTCTCCCTACACTTCTTTCCCTCATATCTCCTTACTTCTGTGCGTGTTCCATCCATCTCTGCTGACCTGCCCAGACACCCTGATCTTCAAAGCATCCACTCCAGGGCAAAGGGTACATGCAAAAGTGTGGAGAGCTGCAAGAGCAACAAGATTAAGTGTGGCAGGACCCTTGAAAACACACTTATGCCATCATCTCCTGCTTCTGGCATTACTTGTTTACAGGAAAATGGTGATACTTGAGCCGCTTGTCTTGGTTAATGAGGAGATGCTTTGACTGGCCGGACAGATGGAAGAATGGATGAAAAAGGTACGTTAGAACCTGAAAACAGTGAGGTGCAGAGTTCACAGTCTGAGCGCAACAATGTGTTAAGATGTTTCAATTAATAAAATACCTGCAGAGAAGAAGAAACGGTGTAAACTGACATTGGGGAGCATAAAAAGACAGAGCAGAGAAAGGAGCTGATGGGAGAGTAGGAGGAGTGATGGATTGTTTTGGTGGATATTTATTCGCCAGACTCTGACACATCCATCTCCAGCTGATCGGTCTGCACTGGACTGGACTGGACAGAGGGTGTGTGTGTGTGCGTCTGACGAATGCCGGTTGGCACATCGTCCACTCTTGTCTCTTGTGAGTTTAATTCACTTTTATGTGAGTCATATAACCGTCGCTATGCCCGGAATCTTAAGTCATCCACTATGAGCCCCTAACAGAAGACCAAAACATCCCAGGCTGCCAGTGTAGGAGTGTCTCTGCATGCAGAAAGGATAAAAATGTCTCATATACTTATGCAGGGTAGTGTAACAAAGATCTTTTCTACTTTCGTAAAGAAGGACAAAGAAAGCTCAGAGTTTGCAGTTAGGTCTTGTGTTTGCCAGCAACACCTGAACAGAGCTGCAAACTTTTTTCTTTTTTTTTTGTAGCCGCTACTCCCAGCAGGACTTTACAACCTCTGCAGCTAAGCAGTGACCATCCAATGACACTGCATCAACGTTTGCACAAGTGCATGAGGTGAAATAAGCGTTTCCTCTTCATCTTCAGATCTGAGATAAAGCCGTCACCTCCCGCCATGTGTGAGCCAGAGGGTCCAGCTGCCTTGGTGCAATAAAGCAAACACTCCCTATGGGCCAATTGAATCTCTGCCCCCTTATGAAAGGCTTTGGTAGCTCTGGCTGAGCAAAGGGCCGAGCTGTCAGGTTGTGTTTTCATCTCCTATCCGGGGAGCACGAGAGCGGCGAGTCTGTCAGAACAATAACGCTTCACGGGCTCCAGTCCCTCCGAACTTTAGTGCCATCTTGGGAATCCACACCGCCAGTAAAGTCACAAACCAATAAAACAGAGGGTAATGAGAGGAGATAAAAGAAAGCACAGGCCTTTTGCTGGCTCTGAGAGTGCAAGCAGAGTGGTCAAAAGTGGAGGGATGGCATGGCGATTAGTTTTTCCCTCCCTTGCCTGACTAATGCTTCAAACCACAACATCCCAGACAAGAGCCCCTTAAAATCACTTTATTTCAGAGCAAAAAAAAAAAGAAAAAAAAGAATCACAGTCTTCCAATGCAATGCCGGAGTATTGTACATCATCATTACAGAATCAATATTTACAGCTAAAATAAATTACAATAAAAATAATAAGATGACAAATGTAAAGTTAATCCAGACACAGTTACACCTATGCTCAACTTTTTTTTTTTTTAAACTTGCGTCACATAAACTGCCTCCTCCTTAAAATGCAACAGAACGAGGAGGTAAAACTGTCCCTCCTGTGGGGAACACCAGCATTCATACGAAGCGTCGCACCGAGCAATCGGCAGAAATGAAAACAGTGGGAGAAAGACAGAAGCAGTATTTGAACGGAACCATCTGCGGGGTGAGAGCCGGTGTGATGTCGCTAGCAGGGAAAGTAGGACAGCCGTGACCAAAGCGGCCCAGAGCTCAGCACAACCGAGGAGGTTCGGAGTGCAGAGAGGTGAGGAAACATTCATAACCTGGGTGATTTGGTTTGACACGGTCCCTCTGTACAGTATAAGAAGCGATAAGAGATTTACGTGAGAAAGCAGGTGGTCGTATGAACACATGGAGCTTCCTTTCTAGTCCCTTTTCCGGTCATCTGTGCTGATGAGGAAACATACCTGAAAAGTGAAATCAAAGCCTCTTTGATGATTACTTAGAAAAAGAAAAAAAAAAACGTTTTCAGACAGATGAACCTCAGATGTTCCCTCGCCTTGTGTTGGACAGGAAAAATGTGCTTTCATTCACAAAGTGTACCCTTTAATCGTTCTCAGAGCACACGGGGAATCATGGGTAGACATCAGAGGTTCATCTGCTGCAGCAGATTCAGACGAGCTAAATAAGAGAGGCAGCTGGGGGCATGGAGTCCCCGCCTTTACAGTATGAATCTATATGACAGAACATGCAGGACCTTGTTGTCAAGGCAAAGCCAGTGCCTACATGTGATATGTATCATGGAATGGAGCGCTCCTTCACATTGACTAGAGGGCTGAGAGTCAGCATTTTTCTCCTAAACTGCAATAAAATATCTCCCCAGTTCTTTCCCCCGGTGTCCCCTTTCTGGAGTTTAGTTTCGAGCCAGGGATCAGACCGAGCCTTAGTGCTGATCTTACAGCAGACTTATGTGAAAATACAATTATAAGATCTGCATTAAGGGCCAAGTGGAGGCCAGATCCTCGAGGGTACACAATCTGACGCTGAAGAGGGTGTGGGAAGCTGGCTGGCGCCCCCTAGCTGGAGTGGAGGACTATGTGCAAGGGGGAGAAAGAGGAAGAAGAGGGAGAGGAAGGCTCCCCTCCCCTCTCCTCCTCATCAGTCACTAGCGATACCGAAGGATCACTGGAACTAGAACAGAGAGAGAAAACAAAGAAAAGTAAGCACAGAATACAAATTGCGTAAATCCAAACTGTGTTTATGTATATGAGGTGATCAAAAAGTTCTGGGCGTGTTTGTGGTGCACGGAGCACATCATGGTGACGCCTCCAACATGTGCGAGCAGCAACTGTCACGAGTCAGGACGCCACGTGGCATCGTGTGTTCAGCAGCGGGATCTGTGTTACACATGCTTTTATGACCACTGGTAGGAATGCATTTCTGATTTCTGCACGCAGCTTAAACTGGTGCAGAGGGCAAGCGTCGCATTTGGTGTCGCTCAGCATACCCAGAAAACCTTGACGACGAAGACCATCACTGGTGACAAAACATGGTTCTGCGGCTACCACAAAGAGAAGAAACTGTAATTTTTCACAAAAGAAGAGCCCACAGTCTTAAAAAAACAGAGCATAAGGCCAGGCGTGCACCAGAAGCATGCTAGTTGATTTATTCAACATCCACCTTATTGTGCACCGAAATTCACTTCTCCAGGTTTAGGTTCTACTGTAACGTTTTGAGATGTCTGAGGAAGAACATTTGGCACAAAAGACCTGAACTGAGGCACCGTGCCATATGTGGGTGCTCCATTACACTGTGCTGTGATTATGCACAGGTTTTTTGGCCACAACAACAAAAAAGTGGCTCCCTACCTGTCCTACTTACCCGATTCTACTCTCAGCTACTTTTCCCGAAATGAAATTCAAGCTGAAGCATCACTGTTTAGGAGATTCAGCGGCCATCACAGATGGTGCTTGATGTGTTTACATAACAGGACTTCCAGGGAGAGTTCCAAAAGTTGCAGGAGCACTGGGAGTGCTGTTTTACTGCACGAAAAGACTACTTTTGACGAGGACGGTGGCCAAATTTAAATACGGTATTTGATTTTCATGGGCATGGTCTCAGAACTTTTTGATCACCCTTCATATTTGGCCAAATACTTACTGATGATAATCAGCAGGAGAGCAACGACTACCAACGCAATAATCATCTTCATCTGTGGAGGAAATGACATAAGTTAAACACAATTCTCATGATGCTGAACATCTCTCTTAATCTTAACATAAATTCTTAAATTGCACGGGTAAATCTGTATTTTATATAAAATTGTAGGGTCCAAACCTTAATATTTAGATTTCTAAGATATGTGTGTGGATTTTTTATTTATTTATTTTTTTGAACATTGTAGGGTTTTAACCTTAATATTTACATTACTCTGTAATTTTACATAATGAATAAAGCTGTAGGGTCTTATCCTTAATATTTATATGGTCGGGTAAATTTGAACTTTATGTACAATTGTAGGGTCTTAACCATAATAATGAAACTACTCAGGTAAGTCTCTATATTTTACATAATATTGTAGGGTCTTAATGTAAATATATTTTTAAAAATGTTAAAAAAAAACACACAGATACATGGAAATCTGTATTTTATAAAATTCTGTAGGGTTTTAACCATAATATTGAAATTACTCAGGTGAATTTGTATTTAATACAATATTGACATTACTCAGACAAACCTACACAATGCAACAGACATAAGAGATAAGATGATGGTGTGTCAGACCTGAATACTCAGACACACTCCCATAAAACACCCCACCTTCATGTCTCTCCACCACATCCTCCTGTGCAGCTGTTTGGCTCGGCTACTGAAGGCAGATGCGTTGTCTGATAGGCTCTCTGCAACAGCACATGACCGCAGTGCAGAGGAGGGGAGGACACGTGAGGAGGAAAACAAAATGGAGAACAGAGGAAAAAAAAAAAAAAAGTGTTAATCACAAAGTAAACAATAGGCTGGTTATTGTCTTCACTTCGCTGTTGGATAACTTGTCCCAAACTGCCTGGCTGCGTGTTGTGCATGTGCAGTTATAATTTGTCAGACTTATGTAACACTTAGCTGAGATCACTCGTTTAAAACAGCTTCTTTAGAAAGTCAACTCCATTGGAACGACATGCTGAACAAGTTTCCAAACTAAAACACAACGGAGCAAAAGCTCATTTCCTCCAGCTTCCTCCCTTCTGTCCTTGTCGTGATGGCTCTCTCCAAACGGCTCGCCCACACTGCTGTCTGCCTCTCTGTTTCTTAGATACTGTTGTTAACTTGATGTTTATGCATGTTAACAGGAAGGTTACAGCTCCCTAGCGTGCCGTGGTGTACTTGTCCAAGCCGCTGTCCCTCCTCAGAGTCTTTGTGTCTGCTGTTTCCATCTGCATGTGCCTGTTTACAACCTGTCGCTACTACAAAGAGAAGCCCTCAGACGAGGCCTCTAAGAAGATGCTTGTTAATCTTGAGGAATTTAACAACAGGTTGCCTGCACACGGGTCAGAGAGCAAACTGCTAGTGTCGATCACAGGACAGTATATTGCTCACGTAAAATGCACAGTAGAGACACGCAATCGGCCACACATATGTCTACAAACACAGCAGTGCTCCGGCATGCACAAAGAGTCATATTCAAGCAAAACAAAAAAAAGTGTTCCAGATGTGCGTCATTGTCGTGGTTGGGTGGCCAACATGACGGAGAGAAGCGGGTGTGTAACATCTGTACAAATGATGCTTAATAGACTGGCAACAAAAACAAGCAGTTCAGCTTCATGTCTTCATCGGTGAAGGAGGAGAAGAGCTGAGAGAGCATCTCGCTGAAACCTTCGCGTGTGTGAGGTTGCGTAAGAGCTTAAGCATTTTGAGTGAGAGCGTGAGACCTGTCGAGAGCTTTCAGACACGCACCTGGTAAAACACAAAACCTGACATACCTCTAACACCAAGTGTATGAAGTGTATTTACATGTAAACATATGCTACTGCACACTCTGGATGCTGTTGAACCAATAACAAGTTTAAAAAATGGACTACCCCTCGAGCAAAGTTAATGTTTTGTTGATTCTTCTAAGTGAAACATATTACACACATCACATTGTTTCATTAGTTGAACACACTTGCCAAACTGTAAAAGTAACACTTCTATTCAGTACACAGTAACACCTACTTTGGCAGAAATTACAGCCTCCAACTATTTTTCTTGGAAATAAGCTGCGTGCCTGCATTTGGAAATTCTCACTTGTCGAATACTTTTGTCCTAAAAACATAAATATTCAGGTTTGAGAGCTAACCACATATCTGCAATACCTTTATAGTCGAGGGCATATCTACCGTTTCATTGCCAAGTGGTTCAAAGTTGTTTATCGGATGATTCATCCTCATTAAAAAAAGGTTTTCTGTTTAAATTTGATGCGTATTGCATAAAATTTTCCATCGACACAAGTGAATTCCCCAAGTACGACCTAATACAGGGTCCTAAAGCTACCAGTGGAAACTAAATGGTAAAATAAACAGGACTGATAAAATACTCCCCATAGAGGTAATTTAATTTGTCTTTGTAAAATCAACAAACCACACATGCTCCGCACATGTGAAGACACAAACACATGCTGTCCTGACCTGACTTGTCCTGCAGGTCGTCGAGTCGCTCGCCCCTCTCTATCACCTTGGAGATGTTCTCCTGCATCACGTCGATCACCTCGTCGACCTGCGACTGCACCCTGAGGACGCAAGTCGATGTGAGACACAGACTCATGATTGTACCTGAAGTATTGATCTTAGTTTTGAGACAGCACAAAGCTTCTCTACATCTAAGCCTGTCCAGCTGGCAAGAAATAAAAAGCCTGTCAAGCTCTTTTCAGCCTCGGTGTGACCTGTACACACCTGTTCAGTATCTGCTGAATTATGCTCAAATCCTCGCTTTATTCATGCGACTCCTGCCTGAGCGTGGCGAGACTACTCCAGATTATGTTTTTATTTTAGAGCCATACAGAGGCCTACAAGAATCAGGACTTTGGCAAAGAAATAAGAGAAGGTAAAAGAATTCATAAAGGAGACAAAGTGATATACAACAAAGGTATTTCTCTTTCTAACAACTGTCTGTACTCTAGTGCCATCAAATCAATTGCCTCAGACAAGACGCTGCCGGAAACTATCAGTCTCAGCCTGCAGCTTGATTGCACGGTGAAGGTGGTATTCATGAAAAACACACTGAGCTGTCAATGTAAAGAGGCACGAGCTGCCACAAACACATGTAAACAACACTGTGAGGACCTGACCTTAGGTATTCAGGTTCAGACAGACGCAAAGAGCGTGAACTTTGTGCACACGGCATCCCTGGAATCTGTAATGACGGCATCTAGTTTCATGTGCTCACAAAAATGACAAACTGTTAGGTATGAAGACAGCATGAGAGAAACAAGTCTGGGTGCCAGGCTGTCTCAACAATGACCTCCTCTGTTCTGCTGCTGCCTCTGACTGGAGGTTAATATGGAAACTGACTGTAGAGGGACTGACCGTCCTCAGAAGGTTACACAATAACCTTCTCTTACACAATGTGCTAACAACCAGCAACTTCTGGTAAACATGACCAGCCACAGTTACATAAGACCAATATCAAAACTTGTGCTGGAAATACTACACTGACCTCTGGCTTGGAGTTGTCACAAGGAATGTGTTTGTACTTACTGTTTGATTTTGTCATTCTGAGGTCCAAATCTTGGTCCTGTCGGCCCTCTCCTGGAAAACAGAAACAGAAACAGAAGTCAATGTTTCCAGTTTAATGCATGAATTTTAAAGATGTTTTTGTACATTCTGCTGTAAAAATCCATATTTGTATCACTGCTCTCTTCCAGGGCTACAGCTAACAATTACTTTACAGTTACCAACGACTTTCTCAAATAGCTGACAAGTCATTTTGTTTGTAAAATCTCACTAATAAGTAATTTGTGTGATTGTGTGTGTGTCTGTTCTTCCTATATCTCGACAACCATGCATCTGATTTGCTTCATACATGGCAAGTGTATTGCTTGGGAGTTAAGAAAGTGCAGTGTCAAGTCTGAAGCAAATCTGACAAACAGTGGCTATTTTTGGAGTCTTTAAATTGGCTTTAGGCTGCCTGTGGGTGGAGCCTAAGTCATCCCTGTTGCTAGGCAACATCATCATCAAGATTCTAGAATGTTGTAATGGATGAAAAAGAAACGCATGAAATCTGAAACTAGTTAGCTGATTATTTGACTAATCATTGAAGCTCTCCTCCTCAATAAATGTACTTTAAATATTTTTAATTATTATTTTTCTAATAGGCTCAGTGCCTGAATACCACATATCATTACAAAAACTCACAGAAAGAAGTCCTCCTCCTCATCAGAATCCTCCTCCAGCAGGTTCCTCTGTAAAAGAGAAAAAGATCACAGGTCAGGGAAGATTAGCTCTGCATATTGAATGCATATTGAATGACTAAAGCACAATGACAATCTCCTCCCTCAGGCCTGAACACTAAACCCTCACTGACTTAACAGACGTCACAGCTGTAGTGCTCGATTGTGTGAGTTGGCGAGGCCTTTAAATGGTATGAAAAGGAAGAATGAGACAAACTATTGTGAGTGCACACGTTGCTCGGAAACAACACGCTGCCATTAAAAAAAAAATGTGAATCTGGACTCGTGTGTCATTCACAGTTTGACTGGCTGTCCAGCTGATCACTCACTGCACAGTGTTTACGCATTTTAGCAAACCATTACAAGTCAGGAAAGCTGTGGAGATATATAAATGCTTTGGTGACATGTGGCTGAAAAAACAAACCCTACAAACTTGGAATAAACAACCACAATAGCAAGCAGCTAGATGCTGTTACTTACAGATAAAGTGACGGTTTCTCACAGTCAAACCAAGGTTCGGTTTGCGTACAGTTTGAGGAGGACAAGGCACCAATTTTGCTGTGGACTGCGTGGAATCACAGAAGGGACGCATACTAACATTGAAAAGTCTGCATTAGAGTCCTAAGTCCTCATGCACTTAACTGGAATGCACCTCAAAGTCTGTGAGTGTGGAAACTACGCCTCAGCCCAGGAGTTCAGACTATTGGCTGCCTGATAACAACCGTGTTTATTGATGCTGATGGCATTTCATTGCCACACACAGCATGCCGTAGGTTCTTTGGAGAAAGACTAAAAAATTTAAATTGCCACAGTTCAGTAAATTAGCAAACAAAATGTTTCCAGATTTGACGCAGGTCCGTTACCGGCATCTCTGTAGTTTTGAGCACAGTGTTCGGTACATTCGAGGCCTTCAAGACGAGCGCTGCTGATGCAAAGACATAAAAGAAGCTGCACTGCCTCCTCCAGATGCCTATAGCGGCTGTACAGATCAATAAAAGCCTTTTCTGGCTGTCTCCAGAAAGTAAATATAGACAAATACAACATGAGTCCAGTGCACTTAAGGCCCTATGATGACTGGACAACAGTACAAGAGTCACGTCTGATGTTCTGCTTGCAAAAGCTCAATCGACACTCTTCCTCTTCTAAATCTGACCACAATAATCAGCATGCTGAGATTTCAAAGAAAACCCGAGCATGTGCGGATAAAAGAACAAAGCAACATTTCTGGTATCTAAAGGTAAATTATTCCACAAACATTAAACGCTGCCGTGATCACAACCATGTCTGAACCACCGGGTTTTAATCGGGGCTGTGTAAAATGCTATTGACAGAGAATCACTGTGGACAGCTGCACTAAATTCTCACAGGAGGCAGCAAGAGTCTGTTTCTCATAGGATTGGAGGCAAGACGACCACATTCACTGCTACTAAAATAGAAAGGTCTTTAGCAGAGATTATGTAAGTAACATAATCAGAAGTTTATGCCTGCTCGTGTAGGATTAATCACATCCCATTTTCCGTAGTTTAGGTTAAATCTCCAATTTTCCGTCATGATAATCACCTTCCGACAACCATCACACCTGCCACTACAAAGAGCAGAGACACGGAAAACCGGTGGATGCACTGTGATGCTGACAGCTGCCAGGCAATGTGGTGCCGATATAGACGTTTTATTTTCTCGTAAATACAATGACATCTGCCAAAAAGCTGCGTGAATGGAGGCCATATGATCATAAAGTACTTTATAAGTTGAGGCTCCTTCTGTGCAGCCTCTTCCTTTCTTTCCACTCGGACCGGACACGTGAAGAGAACTGTTAGCAATTATCAGAGGACACGAGGTAAAGCACCGAGAGGAAGGCATGGAAGGTGGAAGGGAGCATTTTGTTATGCAAGTCCCCCCGTAAGCTCAGCTTTGATCCCACCTCACCACAACAGCAAGCGGGATCAGAGAGAGGAAACAGAGGACTGAATGAAGTCAGAGGGAGGACGGGGGAGGTGGAGGTGGGTGGGACAGGCTGATCACTTTGATGAGGACCAGATATTTGGCCAAAGAAGCTCCTGGAGTTAATACCAACGAATACCTCACCTCCTTCAAACCTTGAATTTGTTCTGTTTTCCGATGTTGTGAAACTAATGAACAAAATGTCTCATTGAAAAATCTGTTTTTTATATCAGCATCTGATTATAATTAGAATAAATTACCTGATTAAAATGTTAAAACATGTTTAATGTGACACAAATCTAAGGCTACTATGTGAAATAAATCAACAGACTTGTTTGTCCCCTCCTCAGATAAGCGATTTGCTATCTCCGTCCTGTTTTTTTTTTTTTTTTTAAAGGGGCCACACAGCCAAACATTAATTCTACGTCTCCATCTCACCCTCTCGCTGCGAATGGATCCCGTGACCTCGTCGTCGTTGAGGTGTCGTTTAAACTTGGGGGGCATGTTGTCGTCAGTCTGCTCCTCCCGGTCTGGCTCCCTCTGTAGGACAGGAGGAGGAGGAGATCAGTTAGGATCTGAGACACTATCGTCCTGTTTTTTTTTATATTTGTTCTATGTGGTACTCAGCTATAGAATCTAAACCTTATGCACAGCATATTACGAACTCTAACCCAATCTAAGAAGACCTACAGCCCCAACAACTCTTGTTGAAGAGGCAGACTTTGCTATCAGTCAATTTCTTTAACCTCTGGAACATATTAAGGAAAGCAACGTAATGTCAGCTGTCTTCAAAAACTACTGGAAGCCTTGCTGGCGAACAAAAAAACAAGACATGCAGTGATATGTTACTAAGCTGTCTTAATTCCTAATACTTCTGGTGTTGAAGGCATAGAGTATCACTAGATATGAAAGGAAATGTCATCACTACTCTTAGTGCCACTGGGCAAAAACTCTACAACATGAACATGGATAGCATGCTGTTCTTCCACTTATAGTTTCGGGTGTCACATGCTCCTCAGAGCAAGACAAAACACGGCGATGCCTCAATAAAGCGTCTCTGTGACCCTGAACTAAGCAACATGTGATCCTCAGCAGCGTTGTAATCATCAGGGGGAAGCACAAGTCTTTTACACACACATACACACACACACACACCAACATCACAGCTTATACCATTGAATCCAGTTAGGTCTGACACTGTGGCTTTCTCAGCGTCCTTTTCTGGCACTGCGGTTGGAAAACGGCCTTTTAGCGGGCCAGGAGAGAGAAGCAACTTTCCAGCAAACAGAGGAGAGGAGAAGCAAGGGACAGATCTGAAGCAGTGAAGAGACACAGAAAGACAAGGAGAAGAAAAAGCCAAGACTAGCAAGTTAGGGTCACAGAAGAAAAGCTTGAGAAAACGAGTCCATTGTAAGAGATGAATTTTAAAGGTGCAATCCACACAAAAAGCAGTATTGAATTTAAATTGAAGCAGTGATTTATTGCAGAGAGAGAAAGGCAGTGGTGATGTCAGATTTGGACAAAAGAAGAAATTACGTAATGACAACCACAAAAGAAGAGTGTAGATTATTAATGACTGCAATCAATTCGTGGACTTCAACTTTGACCAAACAGTAAAAGGAGAATGCAACACAGAACCACAATCAATCTCTGTTAAGAGAGGAAAACCAGATGCTGCGTTCATGGAGTCAAGAAAAGCTATTTTTAGCTGAATACTTTTTTTTATGAGTAATGTAATGGCTTTAAGGTCCGAAGAGGGACACCTTAAAGGAGCCACTACTTAGAATGAAACATATTATAAGCTCAGCTATCAGGAATGCTAATTAACGTTGTATCACAGCCAACTTTAGCCGGTGAAGCTGTTTGCTAAGCTAACTATAAGCTATCCGAACATCGCTGTCTGCCGGATATAAGTAATTAAATTACAACACCACGATAACAGGGCTAAAGAAAATTCAATGTAAACGCTACCATAGCTTAGTTACTTTATAATTTATCAATTTCAGACAGGCCGCTTCGCTCCCAGCTAGGCTAAGCTAAACTAAGCTAAGGATGCTAACGTGACTAGCTACCTGCTGTTTCCCACAAGATGCGATGCTCAGTGCAGGTGAACTCCTACACAGAGGGACTGGGAAATGAATCCAGAGTTTTCTGAAATTAAAGTGGTTTTACAGATTCATTCAAAAGGCTGTCCGGAAGAGGAGACACGATGACCATTGTAGATGTCAGCAGCGGTGCTCTTGTCTTTCCTCCGACCGAATCAGCTGACCAGGAAACAACACAAACAGCTGGAGGAGGAGAGAGACCGCTGCAGATGCAGATGTTTGACAGCGTGGGCTAATATTTTGCTCTCTTCATTTTTATTGTTTATATAATAATAATAATAATAATAATAATAATAATAATAATAATAATAATAATAATAATAATAATGAATTATATCTATACATTATTGTTATTACGGTTTATTGCTTGCTTTTAATATTTTATATCAATTTATCTATTTTTTTAATCAACCCGACTTGCTTTACCTTGGCTATTATATGGTAAAAAGACACGTGAAGTTGTCATGGCTGAATAATACACTTTATTTCTGGTAAAAACTGCTAGCAAATCCATTTTACACCTGTAACAGGTGTCACAATCTAAATTCTTGTTTTTCTTCAAGCATGCTTTTTCTATAACCAACTCTGAGCATCAATATCATGGGATGTATTATAGTTTAAACAACAAAACATCACCAGTTTAATGTCTATAACTTAGAGTGGCTAATACAAACCAGCACTACTACCTGGATGTGCTTTCTGTTTTTCTGAGAATTCATTGGAGAAAACTTCCAAAAGCACATTTTTATTAAAACTGTATGGGCCATATCACCATAAAGAGGTTGGTCAAAACAAGTCACAGTAGTCTATATGAAGAGTTTTATTTTAACCTACATTTTGATACCAGACTCATCTTCTGACCATGATTTGTTTTGTTTCGAAACAATTTTCTAATATAGTCATATTTTAACACTTGCAAATTGAGCTTATGATTTATGGCAGATAACACATCCATGGTAACAATGCTTGATTCTATTATTCTGTGTTGTAGACATTAAACTGGTGCAGTTTTCCTATTGAAACTCTTATATATCCAGTGACACTGGTCTTCTAACCCACCTTGCTGTACTTCATTGTTACTGTGAAACTATTTATAATATGAAGGTGAGTTTATATAAATATATGAATAAAGTTATGGGACATCAAAATCTGCTGAAAATGTCCTCTTCCACCAAGCTAGTTTTAGTGCGCATGTCTGTCAAACCTGTAGGTGGCAGCAGTGCGCATGTCGTAGCTGAAATTTAAGAAGACGAAGAGGAAAGAAAGTTTAACCCGGAAGTGAGAGCACAAGAAGCGGCGGCAAGTTGGTAAGCGGCATGTCTGTGTTTATTCTAATGTTATCTTACATTTAGGTAATTATTTTAAGTACATAGTGTTTCTGTAACAGCAGGCAGTCACTTAAAGTCCACATTTTCGCTGCTGTGCCTTCAGACAGGCTCTTCGCAGAGATGCAGAGCGCAGGAGGCAGCGCTGCTCAGCCTCATCCTCTGTTTGGAGGAGCGCTGTCAGCCGTCGTCCCCCACAGCGCCACGGACGTCAGCGAACTGAGGGAAATCCCGGACAACCAGGAGGTGTTTGTCCACGCCCACACCGACCAGAGCCTGATCGTGGAGCTGGTGGAGTACCAGGCTCAGGTGGCGGACCAGGACGCAGCCAGGTACCACTTTGAGGACATCGCAGGCAGCAACAAAGCTTTGGAGCCCGGTGCTTTTGAAGTGACCACTGTTGTGGCTCTGCCCAAACCCGAGTTGTCCCTGTCAGAGTGCAGCTCTGCCTGGATGCTGACCGGGACACAGTGTGTGTCCAAGTTTAACGAAGAGGCCAGGAACACAGTGACCCTCCACCTGGGTCTGCTCCGTCTGCCGCAGTTCTCCACAGATGTCCTGATCACCTTCAATGACCCGCAGAGCATCAGCCCAGACAGCAGCAGTGCTTCTGCAACGGGGACACACAAACAGCCATGGACGGTGCAGGACTTCCAGCGATTGTTACAGACACTGACTCTGCACAACCCGGGGCTGTTTGGGTAGAATGGGACCTCACCTGATTATAGCTCATCTTTTTCTATGATACATACACATTAAAATGTAATAAGACACGTGGTTCCCTGAGAAGAATCTGGCCCTTTTGCTTTGAGAGAACAATCCTACTGCCGCACCGACACACAGGAACTCATATTCTGCATCGTTCTTTCAATTAAAATGACTTAGAAACCAAATATCCTGTGATATGATCATAACTTTATTTAGAGCTGATGTCTGAATGTCTGTTGCAACCTTTTACACTGATATTGCAATTTCATTTTCAATATACTTTTTAAAGTCAAGCTTCAGTTCAGATTTTTGTTTTCTAAATGAATGAGCTTTACATACATGAAAAAAATCAAAATGTGACTATCACAACATTAATCCATGAAACTATTGACACGAGTTTCAACTGTGGGTCGGACATGCTGCATCACATATATCTTTAAGTTCAGCCTTTGCAATTTGCTAAATGCATTTGGCTTTGAAATCGATTGTTCAGCCCTAGTTCTAACATCATAAATGTTTTGAAGAAGACTGCCTCACCATTGTTGGATTCTCTAATTCTGATTTATTTGTAGCTGAAGTGTGTTCAAAGCTTGACCTTTATTGTGGTATTCAATTTTGCAGTAACTCTTACAGAAAAATTCAGTCAAATTTATCTATAAAGCACATTTAAAACAACTACACTTGAACCAAAGTGCTATACAGTTAAATTAGCTGGCATAAAATATAATGAAACACAATAAGAAAAAGAGAAATCTGAGTTAAAGCAATAAGCAATAAACACAGGCAGAGATAAAGGCCGTCAAGCTCTACTTGAATCAAATGCCAACAAAAAGAGCTGCATCTTAAGCAGCGACTTAAAGGTTTCTAACGTCTGAGCAGTTCTCACATGACAAGGTAAGCTGTTCCAAAGATTAGATTAAAGGCGTCCACTTCAACGGCTGGATTGCTTCTATTTTTGAGACTGAATCTCAGAACATCCAGGAGCATCTGGATGGTTGACCTCAGTGTCGTAATCAGGGTATGAAAATGCAAGAGTCGTGCAAAGCAAGCTGGCGCCAGCCAATTTAAAACCTTAAAAGCAAACAATAAAATCTTAAAATCAATCCTAAAATGAAAAGGAAGCCAGCGGAGACAGGAGAGTACTTATAATTTCTTTTTCCTGTTAACTGATGAGCAGCTGGAGATGCTGAAGCGCCAACTGCTCGACGCCCACGTACAAGGAATTACAATAGTCTAACCACATGATGATGATAAAGTCATGGATCATTTTTCTGAAGGCACACAGATATGGTTACATTTTGCTCATTTTAAGGCAGTTCTGCTTTCTGTAAAGTAGAGCTGCAGTTCTCAGCTACAAATTACCTTCCAACAATCAATCACTTAGAGTGATTTTTAAAGAAAAAACATCTAAACTCTCATAGATGATGATTTTAAAATAGCTACTCTTTGGAAAAAACAAGATATTTAAGGACATTATCTTGGGCTTTGGGAAACAATCATCTCCATTTTTCACTATTTTGTAAAATTTTAATGCTGAACAACTAGTTGATTAACCAAAAAAGTAAGAATGGTAAAAAATAGATATATGTGCCTTTAAATACAACAAAAAAAATAACAATCACAGGCATATTTACAACTTATTTTTCTGGCTACATTCTTGTTCATCCAGCTTTCTCTTTCTCACTTAAGTATTTCTTATTCTCTCACTTCTCTCTTTTTCTTTCTTTCTTCTTTCTTCTCTCACTGTCTTTGTCTTTAAGCGTTCTTACAAAATTAGATTGCAAACCGCGAACAAAAAACAGGCCCTTAAGAGCATCTGTAAATCCCAAAAGTTCTCCTTCGGTGTACTCAGAGTTTACTTTGTGACACGCAGCATGCCGCACTGCTCAAATCTTCATTTTTCTTACAGTATGGTGGTAGTAAAACCACGAGTGATGGCAAAAGTCAAAGTAGAAGTCAGAGGGTTAAGGGTGAAATGAGATGCCACATCCATCATCCCCCGGGAGCCGTTAACATGCAGGTAATATTCACAGAACCCTCAGTGTCTTCAGCGCAACCTGGGTTTAGTCAAAAACAGTGAAAAATGAGAGGACGAGTCCCAGCAGGAATATGTATTAGGTCAACTGTTTCCATCATTCACAGCAGTGGGCTCATGGTGGAGTCATTCATTAGGCTGAACCTTGAAAAATACCTTGGATGAACTTCATTCAAGCCAGAGTTTGGTGAAACACAAAATTTATGGAATGGAAAACGACCCTTATTAGTTGATGCTTTGAAGCTTAAACTGATTTTCAGATTTGAACATCGTAAGTCATACAGTGTGTAATCAAAGCCCTTTTCAGGTACGTGTGCTGTTGTTTAAAGAAAAAAACGGAGTCTGCTGTTAAGTAAAAGATATCCTAGCGGGGGGAACTCAGGTAAAACTTGCATAACAAATAAAAGGAAGCACAGTCTATCTCCCCAGAGCCACATCAAACCCTCTTCATCCTCCTGTGCAATCACGAAGGATTAAGATCTCATAAAGTCAGGCATCCTTTCCTCTCAGTGATCCAAGAGTAGCACATTCCTTCATTAACCACAACATCCACAGCATCACAACAGCAAAGCCTCCGTCTGACTACTGCTGTTATTGGTCCGGTTTGTAATAAAGTCTGACAACATCCTGTCTTTTGGAGCTGATGAGGATTAGGGAAAAGGTTTGCAGGTTATGTTGGGAAACAATTTTGCTAACACTGTGGATTTCCAGGGCCTGAAAACATCCTATTATGGAATGCTGCTGGGTTTGTGCTGTGGTCTCCAACTTTCTGGCTTGTGCATGTGAATATGTAAACCGGCGAAGAGTTTAACATAACAGTCGTCTCTTCATAGGTCGTTTTCAGTTTGATCATCAGGGGAAAAAACTGTAGATGAAAGAAAAATAGTCATAAAGACAGAAAACATATCTTTCTTATTCCTGTCATCAATATTAGCATGAGCAATCATTACGTAAGGCACAAAAACATTTTCACAACCACACTGGATCTAAGTTAACTCGATGTGTCTGATGTTTGTGAAACCAAACAACTGGAAAACTCTGGCATTGTTGGACTCCGTACGTTGAATATTTAATTGCATGTTATTGACCTTTTGTTGGGCAATACTAGTAAACAGTATTTAGTGCTCTGCTTAAGTAAAAACAATAATACTCACGTGTGAAAATACAAACAAAAGTACTAAAGTATTGGCATCAAATTAACTTAAATTACCTTAAATTATGCATTGTGCGAAAATATCAATATCTTTAAGACATTATTTGATGATATTTATTAAGTCATTAATGTGTGCATCACTTTAACGTTGCAGCTGGAGCTAACTTTGATTATTTTACTTACCACTGGGTAGCTTAATCTAAACGTGTAGGGCATCATTTGTTGATTTAAATTTTATTTTAGAAATTTCAATCTGCAAAATAACCACTAACTAAAGCTTTGAATTAAATGTAGTTGAGTAAAAAGTACAGTGTTTCCCTCCAAAATATAGAAGAGTAGAAGGAGAACGTAGCATAACGTGGAAATACTTTAAGTACATCAAAATTGTAGTTAAGTTCAGTACTTGAGTAAATGTATCTTGTAAAGTGCTATGAATAAAAACTCTTGTTAGATAAATGTGTACATAAAAATAAACCTCTACTGATTTGGAAACTACAATGTTCTAATTCAATGTAGTAAAATATACTTATGTAAATGTAATATAATGTTAAGGTGGTACGATTTTCTTCTTTATGTGACAAATACAAAGTAGTACTATCAAATCCTAACGCATCTAAACTATGTGTATACTGTATGTGTCATATTAAAAAATGTTATGTTTTTATTTCTAGCAAGTTTTGGCACTTTGTTTTATGTTGAGTTATAGCTTTTGTAGGATTCACATGAGGATGTCTGATGTTTATCTCAAAGAAGAAACAAAGAAAAGAAGAGCATGCCTTTCAAAGAATTATTGTAAACTGAAGACAGTAGTCAGATTAAACAGTAGTTATTTTTTGTGGCATCTTCAAAGCCTCCTCCTCAACTGAATTTGTACCTTTCAACCTTGAGGCCCCACTGGATGCCATAGTGCTGACAGTAACTGTGTTGATTCGGAGTCACAAGAGGAAAAAGGAGTGACGCCTTCACACGGATGTCTTTGACCTCCAATGACCTGCAGTCTGGCACACATATTCAATATTCCAAAAAAGGAGAAAAAAACAAAAAACAACTTGGCTGAAGGCCGAAGTGAAGCGTCCCTGATGAGGAGAAAAGCAGCTTTGCTGTTCACAACAACTTGTTGCTTCCTGGAAAATCCCCAAACAAAGCCAGAAATCTGGAGAAACAAGCGATCTAGTGTTTTAATGGTGCCTTTTTCTGAAAAAAATTCACCATTGGTAAGTATTTTTGTTGATAACTGAGTGCAAAAGTATTCTTTGGAGGATTGCATATCATAGACAAGTGAAGAAAGCACACAACTGGATGAAAATGCGACATTAATTGTGTGTGAAATAAACTACATGAAACTTTTGGAACATTTAACTGTAAGCTATTCTCCTGGGTTCAGTCGGAGCTGCATGTGTCTGCGCATGTGTCACATCTTCAATACATCTGGGAGGCATCAGTCACAGGTGTATGCATAGTTCCTGTTCAGAGACGTCCAGCTCCGGAGTCATTTATTATCCAAACTCCCCTGTTATCACTGCAGTGTTTGCGCTGAACACCCGACTTTCCTCTTCAGAGACCCTCTCCTCCTAAAGCCCTCCACCCCCTCATCCCTCTCTGGACTCCAGCCTGAACAACCCTCTGCTTCCCTCTTCCAAATCCAGGAGCTAATCTCAGTCTGCTGCTCTCATCAGGACCCTGGAGCTCCCGTTTCTTTTCTTTTTTTTAATATAAATTATGCTCTTCTCCAAGTCTATCTTTGTCAGTCCTTGGAAGCAAAAACTATCCGCTGTGGAACAATCAAACAAGACTTGCAACAATCTCTGTTATCTTTTCATATTATCTGGGAGATATTTTTAACATGCTCTACCCCAACAGAAGGAATCCTTTTCAAAGGGAAACATCCATAAAGAATAACAAAGACAGGCGATTTTCTTTAAAAATCAACTAAACGTTTATTAAAAAATAAAGAAACACAGATATTATACGGCACCTTTCCAACTGCAGATTCTTTAAGTACAGACTGTGATGATAAAAAATGTTTTCTGCTTCAGCAATCAAACCGTGTAATATTGAGTAGCTAATGATTTGAGGTGTAATGCATTTTGCAGCAGACTCAGTCTTTAATCTTCCTGCTTCTTCTTCTTGTTCTGTGGTGAAACGTTGTTCATTTGAGAGAAATGCTCAGACATGGCAGCGAGCGCTCGGTAACGATGAGAGATTGTGTTCTTCACTTCTTTGGGCAGTTCAGCATAGCTGCAAATAAGATAGAAGAAAATAAAAGTGAGTATAGACATGTAGATGTGATACTTTATCCCAAGCCCACAGCATAAGGTCATGTGATTTGATATATTTGATTTACACAGACAGTATGTTAACCTCTGGCTCCCCCTTGTGGTATGAAATGGAAATTTCTAATTGTTTTTGCTTACGTTTTGTCAAATCCGTCTGGCTGGAAACAAGGATCCCATCCAAAGTCTCGAGGTCCCCTTGGTTCCACAATTTGCCCCTAAAAATTATATGAGAAAAGAGCCATTTAGAAAATACACACACATACAACCTGGGAAAGCCTTAAAAAGACAAGATTCCGACCTCCGTTTTCCCTCTGAAGAGCTGTACGGGTTCATCTTTCCCAGCAGAGAAAGCAAACGTGCAGAGAGCCCACGCTGACTTATCTTCAAACCCAGCTAGAAGTTTGTGCAAACCTAAAATATTACAAAAAAAAATAAAAAAATCAAACATGTTGGAAAAGTCACATCATAGTTTTTCTATACAGCTCCACATAACTTTGTTGAAAATAAAGACATTTTTAATGACAATTGCGTTTTTTTTTTTACTATGTTAAAATGTCTATGTAATGATTTTGAAATGCTTGAAGATATTTAAGCTGTCTTAACATTTCTTCCTCCAAATCAGTTTCTAGTTCAAACATCCATCCATCCATTATCTGTACACCGCTTAATCCTCACTAGAGTCGCGGGGGGCTGGAGTCTATTCCAGCTGACTTAGGGTGAAGGCAGGCGACTTTCTTGCTGCGAGGCAACAGTACTAACCAACTGCGCCACCTTGCAGCCCCAGTTCAAACATGTATGGTTGAATTACTCCAAAACTACAACTTGACGTTGTGTAGCGTAGAGTAGTTGTACAGTGTTAGAGCAGAGTTATCGATGAGCTGGTGTGCTTGAGCTACTTTGACCTGAAGGGGTGGATGGAGAGAGATCTACGTGTTCTAGAAAAAGCAGCTGTGTTACATCTAAGTCATTTCAAGTCATGAAATGATTATTTTAAAGAAATAAAAGAAAATATGTAGCAGAGGGGAATTTTAGGGGCTTGAAGAGGGATTTTAAGATCATATCAGAAAAACATTTTTTTATGACTTACCTTCAGGCTTAAGTTTATCCAGAAACCATTTGCTACAAAAACAAGTGCATTTTATCAGTTAATTACTGCTGATTATTATTACTTCTGTTGAAATACCTAAATGCAAATGAGAGCAACTGCACTTACATATAAGGACCAGGTAGCCCTCCCAAAGCCCTGAAACAAAGACAAGTGTCTTCTACGATGACTGGCCCATCAATCTAAAGGACAAAAACAAACAACATAAGGCTCATCTCATTCCTTCATTTGGAGCCTCCTTGTCTCCTCTGTTCTTCATCTGCCTGCCTGCCACTCAGAAATTGTTTTCAGTGGGCCATCTCTGTATAACTCCTTAAAATACATCTCAAAAAGAGAGGAGTGAGGGGGGAGGAGGCTTGCTTGAGGAGCTGTGATGAGGACGCACAGGTGTATCCTCAGTGTATCCTTTATGGAAGGTGATGGTGTTTGGTGGAATATACAAACCATGAAAGGAGCAGGACTGATAAATATGTAAATAATATATATAACTCAATCATAATATGCCACTCTTTTTCACTTTATTATTTCACAGTGTGCGTGTTAAAAATTAAAATAAACAGGTTGCACATTCTTGTCAAATTCTTCCATGTTGTGAATTGAATTATACATTTAAAAAAAATACTGTAAGTATTGGAACTGTTGAGTAAATCATACAATTAAAGAGTGACATATATTCAGATTGAGTAATATACACTATATATGCACATGTAAGTCTCTTGCTCCTGTCAGTGTTTCTATTTTCCAACTGCATCTCACGCTTCTTTTATATGTCTGGGATGTGGAAAACACCTCTGCAAATGATACAGTAAGGACACACATTTGCATCCTTGCTCATAGCTCCTTCGGCAAGCCTCCTCTGTCCTCAAGATGCATTGTTAGAATTGAGACATCCTTCAATCAGCATGCAAAGACGAATTTCCAGACTACAGGCAGGAGAGTGGAGGACAAAAGCGAGGAGACTCGAAATAGTAGAAAATAAGATGAGCCTAAGGATGTTTCATTTTATTAAAGGCCTGTTGGCTCAACTCCTCTCTCCTTGTGTCTCTTATTTTCCTCCTCTGCTGACATCTCTGGTTGTAGGGATGCAAGGAGAGGAGTCAAAGAGAGGAAACAAGGATGTACAAACTGGGAAATGAGAATGGGGATAGGCTGTGTTTCAGTGAGTAATCTGATCCACTTATAGTACAGACAGATGTGTGCAGGGACAACATACTGTACCTGCTGTGCAGCCTCCTTACACTTCTGTATAGAAATCTCATCTGGCTCTCCCTGGTACTCAGGCACTGGGTAAAGAAATATTTGCATGAGCAAGGACTACATAAAAACAGTTATTAACTTGAAGTGTGTCTTTTGATACTTACAGTCAATCTTTTTTGACACCAATTTGTAGGGAAACCTGTCTCCCAGGATCTGAACGACCTGATGGGTGTCACAAAAAAGAGAGCAAAGAAGAATTCCAGGGAGACTGTTTTTCTTTTTCAATGAAAATGGATCAAGAGGATACAATTACAGCTCATGTCTACCTGCCTATATTTAGCAAGCACAGTCTGGAGCAAAACAAAAGTGATAAATGCGCAAATATTTTTGCCGAAAATGGTTTAGACCGAGCAGCACAACAAAAAGCAAACAGTCTGTCTCCGGCACGAAATATCTGAGTCTTACTTCTTCGAGTTTCTTCGCGTTTCCAGTCACGAAGACCACAGACCTTCCAGCGGGCACAGCCATGTTGAACGACACCCGGAGGACTAACACTGCCGGACCGGACACATCCGGCTCAGCAGCGGCCAATAAAATCCAATCTGAGAGCAACGGCCAATCACAGGAGAACTACTAAAGATAGACCAATCAGGAAGCGGTTCCATTGCAATGCTGTCCGGGTGGAAAAGGGAGTACGAGGTGCCATGTGGAAGAGAGGCTGAAAACAAGTGCAGTCACGGTAAATATTTGGACTAAACCACAATGAGTCTTTTACCTCGAACCGCCGAAGAGTTCAGCTCTGCAGAGTATTGGGAGAGATTCTTTAAGAAGCGCGGAGAGAAGGCTTTTGAGTGGTACGGAGACTACAACAAACTCTGCGGCGTGCTGCATAAATACATCAAAGTGCAAGATAAGGTAAAGTGGTTCACGATTCACTCGATTCTACTGTTTCCATTCACATCCTGCTAATATGTACAGTTATCACAAGAGGCGAGTACGCTCTTGTGCGAAATGTCAGATAAATACAAACTATATCACCTCCTAATAGTTGCAGTAGTTCTAAGTTGACAGGCAGAGTATTTCCTCTTATGAACCATCAAAATCAAATGCTTTAGAGAGACTATGCTGAAAATACAGACCTCAAAGTAGAAACTCAGTGCAACTACAGTGAGTGCGGCTATGATCCCTGACACACAATTAAGAAAACCTGAAACAACATTGAGTACACCAGTGATTTCCAATCAGCCTAACTGCATGGTGCTAAAAATGACCCGTGACCATCAGAAGTTTTTTCAGATTAGGATTTAGGGACTGTGTCTATCTGCATGTCTGCATCATCTGATAAATCTGTCTGAGATACTTTACAAATCTGGAAAACGATACAAGATGATCATCTCAAAATCAGTCGTAACACAGTTGTAGCAGAAATAGGGAGATGTAGAACAAGCCATTGTTCTACATTCAGAGCTGCAGTGTCCATTCTCAAAAAAACAGCAACTACACAACACACAGAGCACTACATGCACAATGCAGTGATTATCATTGTAAATCAGACTTACTGTGACAGTTTAAGGACAGTCAATGACATCTACCTCTATGTGTGGCATCAAAGAAAAAAACAGCAACATTAAAGTCGGTACTAAACTGAGATAGGAAACTTTGCTAAATCCATCCACCCATTAGCTATACACCGCTTAATCCTCAGTAGGGTTGTGGGGGGGCTGGAGCCTATCCCAGCCAACTCAGGGCGAAGGCAGGGGACACTATCACCAGGCTACACTTAGAGACAGACAATCAAGCACACCGACAGACAATTTGGAATCACCAATTAACCTCAGCATGCTTTTGGAAGGGCTGCAAGGTGGCTCAGTAGTTGACATCGTTGCCTCACTGCAAGAAGGTCGCCGGTTCGCGTCCTGGTGAGGACACCCGGGATCTTTCTGCGTGGAGTTTGCATGTTCCCCTGTGCAGCGTGGGTTCTCTCCGGGTTCTCCGGCTTCCTCCCACACAGTCCAAAAACATGTTGAGGTTAATTGGTGATTCTAAATTGTCTGTAGGTGTGAATGTGAGTGTGCTTGGTTGTCTGTCTCTAAGTGTAGCCCAGTGATAGACTGGTGACCTGTCCAGGGTGTCCCCTGCCTTCAACCTAAGTCGGCAGGGATAGGCTCCAATTATTTGACATTTAAGAGATATTACCCATGGGGTGTACTCACTTTTGTCATGTACTGGATACAAGTGGTGTTTGTGCATTTTCCTGCCATGCACTTTGCACATTATACTGAATAGGTAAGACTGTGCTGTGTTTCTGTCATTTTTAAGATGTATTTCATAATGAATCAAAGCTAAGAAACATAATAAAAAATGGTCAACTGTTTAAGTGAGATTTTTAAACAACACCCTAAACACGTACAGAAGACATCTCCCCTCCATATAGGCTATAAGCAAATATGAAAGTCATGAATCCAGAAAAAGAAGCACAGAAGCAACCACAGGATGAAAATAAACAACAAAGTGAACAACAGATAAATAAAACAATGCAGTGTGGGTGCATGTGCTCTATGTGGTCCAAAAGTTATGAATAGAATTTGTGCTTTTTTCAGGTGCTGGTTGTTGGTTGTGGTAACTCTGAGCTGAGTGAACAGCTATATGATGTCGGCTACAAACATCTGACCAATATAGACATCAGTGAGACAGTGGTAACGCACATGAACCAGCGAAATGCTGAGCGCAGACCCGGCCTGACCTTCCACCAGGTGGATGCTACACAAACTCCATATGAGGATGCCAGCTACCAGGCTGCTCTGGACAAGGGCACCCTGGATGCAATGGCCTCTGAAGAAGAAGGAGCTTTGGCCAGGAACATGCTCACTGAGGTAAGAAACCATATATACACAGCATACTATATCATCCGTGTACATCTTTGTATATTCCTCACCGCAGCTCTCTTGTGTTTGCAGGTGGGCCGAGTGCTGAAAGTCGGAGGGAGGTATGTCTGTGTGACACTGGCTCAGGAGAGTGTCATAAAGTTAGCTGTGGATCACTTTGTTCAGCTCGGGTGGGCGGTGAGGCTCCACTGCCTGCAGGAAGAAACTGGGCCGCATGAAGACTCCTTTGCTCTACCTGTTTTTGTTCTGGTTTGCACCAAGTTCCGTCAGCCTATGCCCATGCCCATTCTTGAGATGTGTCTCGGAGAGGATGGCGCGCCGGTTCGTCAAACACAAGTTTCAGAGATGCTGTCGGCTGTGAGAGAACATCAGGCTTACTCTGTCTTGAGAAAGAGGCTCCGCACAGGCACTGATGCCAGCGCAAACCTCTCCCTCACTCTCTGCCACGCCAAGACTGGCCTTCCCAGATACACTCTCACAGTACAGGATTCTGTCCCTGGTGCCAAAGTGCCAAGATTAAACCAGTTTGCTATATTTATTGGTGAGCTCTTTTGTCATCTTTTCATGTTCCTGACTTCCTGTGTAAGTCACACTGGTTGTATTTTGTTCTTTTTTTGACAATTGCTCTTCTTGCTTGATTAGTGCCTCAAGGGAGTGAGACAGCTTGGCTCTACAGCTCCAGCGAGGGCCGAAGGCAGCTGGCAGCCAGTGCTAACTTCCGGCGCCTGGTCATAGTTGCAATGCACAGGAATCAGGAGTACAAAGACATGGATGCTGTCCAGTCAGAACTTTCACCAATGGTGATGGACTTGGCTCCTCCAGGCATGCCAGCCAACCATCAGGTAAACACATGTAAATATTTCTTTTTGAAAACAATATAACAGTTGATGTCACCAGAATAAGTACATTATTTGAGCTCTCTTCTCCAAATCAGGTGCCCTTTCTGTCAGTGGGAGGCAACCTTGGTTGGCGAGAGGAGATCAGCAGAGGTGTGAGTCAGCTGAGTGGGGAGTTTATTGTGGAGAACGTCAAAGGAGAAGATGGAGAACTGTATCGCAGACTTGTATTCCTGTCTAACTCTGCCCTTGTTCAGTCAGAGAGCCGTCTTGTCTCATCAAATACTGGTAATTTCTTTCCTCTTTTTTCCCAGTTAATTATCATGCATTTTTCTTCAGGATCTTACTAAAGTCAATTAATCAAAAGTGTAAAAGAAGAACTGGAGCACACAGATGAATTCACAGTGTTTAATTGGACCAGCTAATGTTTTAACACTGCTGTAGCTTCATCAGAGTCGCAGTTGTGTTAAAACGTCAGTCTGTATACACAACTGAAAGCTGTGAATTAATCAGTGTGATCCACTTCCCCTTTTATCTTGGGGAATTTTGCTTTCTAAGGAACGCCTGATTCAGCAGCACTTGACTGGAAGATACACAAACAATCTTGTTTTTATGACATTAAATCAACCAATCAAGCACCACCCACAATGCATATACATACACCAGTGAGCCACAACATTAAAAACCTCTGCACGATATGAGGCAGGTGGTTGTAGTGTTGTGGCATATTGGTGTGTACGAACATTTATTTTCACAGTTTAAAAACAAAACAATCTTGGCACAACAGTCAAAACCAGGACACAAGCGAATACAGCAGAAACATACCAAACAAAGACACAACAAACACAATGTGAATATCAAAAATACAATATTGACTGTAAATGTTTAAAATAAATGTGTATTTGTGTCCCTGGTAGCATCAAGTCAAAAGAAAAAGAACAAAAAGAAGGCCAAAGCAACAGCTCCTCCAGTAACAACTTCATCCTCTCTGTCAGTGGACAGTGGCTTCCTCTGCTGCGCTCACCATGAAGTCATGGTGGCCGGTCTTGCTATGCTTGGTCTGGGATCGCCACAGAATAAAGGTATGTGTGTAAATGTCAGTTTTGTACATTATTGTCAATGTAATAAATAGTGATGGAAAGAGGATGAGCCTACAGTACAAGCACAGCTCTCCAGCACCCTACATCATATGTCACACTTAATCCACGCTTTACCTGTATCTTCCTTCCACTCCCACCTCATCTTGCTTCTTAGACGTCCCAGTGTCAGTGCTCCTGGTGGGGCTCGGTGGAGGAGGCCTGCCTCAGTTTCTGCGGGACTTTGTGCCCGGAATAACCGTTGAGGTTGTAGAACTGGACCCTGTTGTGCTGGAAGTGGCAAAGACGTGGTTCGGGTTCCTACCAGATGACCGTTTGACCGTCACTCTTGGGGACGGCCTTGAACGTATCTGTGCCTTGGAGAAAGAAGGTCAGTAAAGGAGTAGAACAAAGTGAGGATACAGCAGTAAATATATTACCAGCGACACAAAGTAACTGTGGCTTTTCTTTCTCTGTAGGTGGTCGATTGTTCGATGCCATCATGTTCGATGTAGACAATAAGGACAGCACTTTGGGTATGAGCTGTCCTCCTGCTGCCTTCGTAGAAACCTCCATCCTGCAGAAAGTCTCCAGCTTGCTAACTCCCCGAGGTACAGAAGCACTGATAGTGTCTTTATTTGTCTCTATTTGTTTGACTCTGTTATGCATTCAGTGAAATAATGACAACAAAATCATTTTTAAAAGCTGTTGTGCCTTACGGTGGGTTGATTAGACACTTTTAAACTAATAAATTAACTGGTCACAAACAGTGACATGTTCAGCAGTCTTATTCCACATGTAAAACCTATTATGTCTTGCCAGATTTATGTGTTTACATTCCTTTTTGTATTTTCTGCCCTTATCTCTCCTTGCCAGGTCTGTTCATACTGAACCTTGCATGTCGTGACTCGGCCCTGAGGAAAAGCGTGCTTGAGCGTGTGAATGGTGTGTTTCCCACCATCCTCTCTCGAAACATTGAAGAGGAGATCAATGAAGTCCTTCTGTGCTCTCGCGGAGACAAGGAGACATCAGATCGCATCCTTCCATCCTTGAACCAAGCAGCCAAGAATCTGCAGAGCGTGCTGCACTCTAACAGGACTGAACCCAACCGCAGGCCTCATATAGACATTGCAGAGTTGTTAAAAAACCTGAAAGTTGCCTGAAATTTGTATGTGACCAAGGTAGGCTGGTTTTAACTAAGTGCCAAGATGGTTGAGATAATATAATGGAGATTCTGAAATATGAGAATACCTGCATTGGTCTTTGTCATTCAGTGCAGTGTAATGAAAGCATATATGTACACATGGGTGTAAATTTTGGGGATTTAGGGGATATTTAATATTTAGAACATATGCATTAGTCACCCCTCCCCCAATAAAACCATGAAAAAAAGCAGAAAACTTTTATTTTGAAAAACTGTGATACCCTTACAGTTGGAGCCAGCAACACCTCAGACAGAGGTTGGTCTTGTTCTCCAGCATTGGTTTTTTAAACACTCGAAACATGAAATATGGTGCTGTGTAGACAGATTGATGACCATGCAGAATCCATGAGGGAGAAGAAGAAGGAGGACTTTTTTTTTCTCAAAAAGTCCACTAGATAATGTTTTCAAGTTTACTCAACATTATTTTTGCTTTCTAAAATTATTTAGAGGCTTTGACAAGGTCTCATTGTCTTGTTATTTTAATCAATGTTTTTATCCGTTATAGCCAAAATGGGCTGTTTGCTTGTTTTCAGTCAGCTTCAATTACACAGTTGAGATATACATAATTCATAAAACTCACTGACACTACAGATATATGTAAACATGTTATGAATGTGCAGAAGGTTTTGAACATACGCTATTAAAGTCCAGAAATTTCCAAATAATTTTAAATGAATTCGTTGGTATGAATAGTTGCTACATGTACATTTTAAAAGAGTCACTTCTCCTAACAAAAGACACAGAACAGAAGAGGAATTAATTCCTGTATGTGTGCTGACTCAGAAGGGACAATCATAAAAGAGAAAGTTCATCTACAGGTGAATAAATATTTGAAAGCAATACATGATGTCTTAGAGCCTTACTGCCTAATATTCTTTTATATTTATAATTGTTTATGTTTTCCTTTTATTCTCTTACTTTGTTTAAAAACCTTGGAGACAGTGGTACAGTCAAGGGGTGGCCTAGGTCAGCCACAGCCACCACAGAGTAAAGTCTGGCCACCGCATGCAACCATATAGGAAAGCCTATTAAAGTGCTACGCCAATACTTATAGAACTTGAGTTATATCCTTACCCTAATGCAGGGGTCTCGAACTCCGGTCCTCAAGGGCCGCAATCCTGCAAGTTTTAGATGTTTCCTTCTTCCAACACACCTGATTCAAATGATCAGGATCGTTATCAGGCTTCTGCAGAGCTTGATGATAAGCTGATCATTTGAATCAGGTGTGTTGGAAGAAGGAAACATCTAAAACTTGCAGGATTGCGGCCCTCGAGGACCGGAGTTCGAGACCCCTGCCCTAATGGGTTGTAATTTCAGTTGTGATGTCAACAAGTAAAGCAACCGTTCCAGACTTTCAAAAAAATAATCAATTGCGGTTACATGCAAAAACTTATTATATATGGTAAACTATTACATGGCAGTTATGCCTGCATAAGTCAATGAAGTGACAAAAAAATATCAGTTCTCAATGAGACACATTAATAAAACAATAAAACCTTTACACAAATAAAGGCATTTTCACCATGAACTGATACAGCTAAGGCATATGTTGGTGCATAAAATTCACCAGAATTAGGTGTTTGATACTCAAGCTAATGTGCCTCCTCCCGGTGTTCAATATATGCCCAAAAACAGTGCTAATAAAAAGTATTCTCTTTACTTTGCTGCATTCATTTTACCCTCTACCTTTTCAAGCCCTCCAGGGCCTGCTGCCATGAAGCGCCCACCTTCATGATGCTGCCACCACCATGCTTTATGGTGGGGATGGTGGGTTTGTGATGTGGTTCAGTGTTTAGTGTCCACCAAACATAGTTTAGTCTAAAGAACAAAAAGCTTAATTTAGTTCTTATCAGACCAAAGAACCTTCTTCCGCTTGACTCCAGAGTCTTCCACGTGCTTTCTGTTTAATTGAATATAAGCTTTTTTTAATAGTGGCTTTTTCTTTGCCACTCTTCCATAATGTTTCGTTGGAGTGCACAGTTGCTCTCATCTCAACTGCTTAAGCTTGTAACTCTTTCATAGGAGTCATAGGTGTCTTGGTGGCCACTGTCTCTTATCTCTTTTTTGCACAGACACCCAGTTTTTGAGGTCAACCTGCTTTAGGCAGTTGTACGCATGTACCTTATTTCTTTAATTTAACTGAAATTTTCTTATATCCATCCCCTGACTTACATTTTTCAGCAACCTTTTCACAGAGTTGCTTGGAGTGTTCTTTTGTCTTCATGGTGTAGTTACAGCCAGGAGTACTGTTTCATCATCAAATCTTCCAGACACGGGTATGTTTATACTATAATCACTTAATCACGTTCACGGCACTATGATTTTCTCCATTTCACCAATCGAGAGACTTCTAGTATCATTTGGTTGCACCTGTGTTGAATATTGTGAGTCACTTTAAAGGAGGTTAATACTTGCACAACCACATATGTTACATTTTATTTTTTGGATTGGCATTACATTGAAGAAATCTGTTTTCACTTTGACATAAGAGTCGTTTTTTGTAATGTTTTTTTTAAGCCAAATGAAATTGACCATGACTCAATGTTGAAAAGAAACAAAAGGGGAAAACTTAAAAGCATTTTAGCTTTACATCTGTATAGAGTGTTCCTACAAAATGACTTCCCAGTGCTCTTAGACATTGGAATACGAATTATAATTATTATGTGCGCATTACTTCACTCTTCAATGTAGCCTTCACTTTCTTTTTCACTTGCTTCTGGTGTCTAGTGTGCTGCACCCTGCTCACTCCCTCATTGGCAAAGAATGCAGCAGCGTTATTTACAGTAGATGAATCGTACACTCTGGTTCTAGTTGCAGTGTTTATATGGCTGCAGAGGAGCCCTGCCCACACTGGATGCGTAGGATTTTAAATAGCCGTCTCCCTGAGGAGTGAAGAAGTCGGGGTACTCTCATAATTGGCTGTAAAGTTTGTCTATCTTCTGAGTAGGGGGGCTGCCCAGTTAAAGTTTCTTGCTAGTGCGCATGCGTAGAAAACTTTATTCCGCTAACTGTCAAAGCAGAATGTTTTCCTCCTAAACATGGACCAAACTGAGCGAAGAGACCACCGGGTAGCACCTTAACGTCTTCATACTTTACCGAAAACAACACACTACGAGTTTTTGAACTTTTACAGCATTAAAAATCCCTTTACTGTGCCGTTTTTGTGGACTTGAGCACTGTGAGTACAAACACTACCGTCGCTACCAGACGCACTAACTACTATCGGCTGTTAAAGTTGCGAACCTTTAAAAGTTAGCACCAACCTTCGAGAGAAGTCTTATTTAGAGTTATCTTTTTTCACATTTCAGTGTTTATAAAGCGGTATAATTACGAGTAAACAACAAGTATGGTAGTTCCCCTGTCGACTGGTATGGACTAGAACCGGAGGGAAACAGGATTTCGAAGGAGCCGGACAGGTAGCTCCTCCTGTTGCGATGGGCAACCGCGGGATGGAGGACCTGATCCCGCTGGTCAACCGCCTTCAGGACGCCCTGGGCAGCGTGGGGGAGAGCTGCAGCCTCCACCTGCCGCAGATAGCCGTGGTGGGCGGACAGAGTGCAGGCAAGAGCTCTGTGCTGGAGAACTTTGTGGGCAGGTAAGTCACAAAAACATCTCTGCCCTGTATACCCCCCCCACACCACACACACACACACACACACACACACAGAAACACACAGAGTCTCTGTTAACTGCGCCGACTAGATGTGGATTAGCCTCAGATACCAGAGCATTGGTATCTGGGGCTACCATTAATGATAGGACTGCAAATTACAGGTCGATTTAGCTATTAGTTGTTTGGTAAAATGTCACAAAAATGTCGTCCTCAGATGTCTTGCTTTGTCAACAACCAAAAAAATATTCAGTTTAATGTCATTGAGGCTGAAAGAAAACAGAACATATTACATGGTAAGAAGCTGGAATCAGAGAAATTTGTTATTTATTCATCTTTTTAAAAAATTACTCAAACTGATTAATCGCTTAACCAAATAGTTGACAACTAATCATGTTCCTGGAACTTCATTGAAAAGCAACTGAGCTTCTCTTTTAGTTTCTTGAAGATGTTTCACCTTCCATCTGAAAAGCTTTTGGATGAGAGGTGAAGAACCTAAAAGAGAGGTTCACTAGCTTTTTGCTGAAGCTCCCCGGATTTCCATGACCTGGATGACTGAGAATCTACACAGGCTAATCGATTAGTCGTTGCAGCTCTGATTAAAGGGCTCCATCAATATCTAACATTAATAAACCATTAAAAGTAACTTTTAGGTTGCCAGATTGTGTAAAATCCCATTGACTGTTTGGTCGCTGTCCTAGATAAAATTCATTTTCCGTTTCATGCAGAATACAAAGCCTCTATCATGTATAAAATACAGTTATTGGTGCATTTTAGACACATACATACGCAAAACAGTAACTGTAAAAACACAGAAACTGTAAATAAATAACAATATTAAATAGTAAATTTTAAATCTAGCAGCAGACAGAGCATCAGTATGAAGGTTTATTATCATGCTGTAGTTATTGCACTATAAATCAATACATTTATTTTACAAGTTTGATTTAATGGCTACCAGGCAGTGAGAACCCTGTCATTTTCTAGGAATGGGGACCTGTTTTAAAATGGAATTTTACCGAACAAAGAGAGTTAAGCTCTGCCTTTAGGGAAAGATTTACATTGTTCTCTTTAATAATTTATTCTGATGTAGAAAGAATTAGCACTTGTCAAAGTCACCATTAATTAAGCCACGAGTTATAGATCCTATCATATTAATGCAACCTACAAGGAACAAAGACTGTCTTTATATAAAGCTGTTGGTTGCAACTTTATTAGGTCACCCTGAGCAACTCAATAACTTGAATGACCGTCAGAATATTTGTAGCAAACATTCAAATGTATTGTTGTACTTCTTAGTTCCTTGCTAATTGTATTAAAATACTTATACTTAATTTAAAAAAGGTATGTTCTGTAATTGCTGAAAATGTTCTTAATAATGTCTGTAGTTGAATGAGATAGGATTTTGTGACAATCTAGATTTGTAATATACTTTGAAGAGGTTGTTTTGTTAAAAGTAAAGTCATTCAGGCTGTTCAGAGACTGGGAAATGCTTCATTTCACAAAACAGAAACAAAACCCTAAAACAGTTCACTGTGTTCATACCTTCTATATCAGTATTGTGGCTATATTTACCAGTCTGAAGTGGTGGATGCCTGTATGACAGTAGTCAGTACAACAGCTTATCTTATACAGTGAAGGTGTCAGTGAAGGGTGGAGGTTAATATGCTTCCTGAAATGTAGCAGAAGCAGAATGTTACTTAGCTTACAACATAACTAAGCTGAACAGAGCATTGTTGTGTTACATCTTTTTCTGACCTTTAGCAGATTTCAAGGTCCTAAAAATAATGTAGCCCACGAATGAAAAACAGGATTGTTTCGATGAAGCTGAAATGCAACAGAAACACTTTGGTGTGTGATGAGACTAAGTACTTCCATCCTGTCAGAAAGGAATGCCAGAGAGAAAGACAGCAGTTTCTTTGCTTCCCGCAACCGTAGGTGAGACAGTCAAGCTCTGTTTGCGAAAGAAGACATGTGCATTGCCCAGATTGTTTGGCTGTCCAGGCGATAATCTGTGCTATTGCCAGTTACTGCAGCAGGCTGTTAATGGTAGCTTTTCCTGAGGGTGTGTTGATATTTTACGCCAGCCCTTTGTCTTAGCCATGAGTGTGTTATGACACCCGTTTTGTGGAGGACTGTACCAGCTGTGTGATCTGTGACAGGATGTAATAAAACAAATTTCCTGAATCTGATTTTAAAAGGAAAAAGGATGGGCTACTTTTTAGCCTTT